GGGGGGGGGTTGGGGGAGGGCTCACGTGATTGGATCAGCTTTTGGGCAGTTTGCGAGTGGAGTGAGGGTATGGATGAGTCGGGGAAGCCATGACCGGTTTCGACCTTTCTCAAGGGTCTCATCAGATAGCTTTGAATTACTAGATAGAACATTCTGTTCAAATGATCTATACAAGACGACTATACTAGTAACCATGTGAATATTTAGAAGAAATCAAACATGGGTGTGTGGCTGTGAGTGTTAATGTGAATGGCAGTAGTTCTAAATGTATATCCATATGCACAGCCACACCCACCAAGCAGAACAGGGCAAAATAGTTTGCCCTGCCAACGTTTTTTCATAAAAAGTCATTCGAAAGTGTTCGTTACATATCAACATGAATTTTCCCGAATATATGTCTGCTATGTAATTCTAATAGCTTTAATCATTAATTCATGTTTTCAATCGATTTCATTAGTACTTATGGATGTGATATCCCTTCAGATTCATCATCATTCAATAAAAATTGTTTCGATTTCGAGGGGATTCGACATCTATTACTAGCAAATAATAAACAATGAATCACCACATGCTGTTAAATGATGGCGAAAGCCTCCGACTCAGCTAGATGATATTCATTCACAAAGAATCCTGGCTTTGATCGAAAGAAATATTGATTTTACTTAAATAATCAACTGTATCGTGCACGCATAAAAAAGGCCAAGCTGTTGAACTAAAAATGATTGTTTGCCCATCAAGAATAAGTTAAATGATACTATTTCAACACTATTGTAATCTGATTTTTAATCGATAAAATATATTTGTAAACCCTTCAAAATTAGAAAAAGTCCGAGCATGTTTAAAAACAGATTATCAAAGTACACGCCAATAACAGAAAGAAAAATAAGATATATATATATATAACAACGCTGATTAATTTTGATTAGCCTTCATCATTAGTATGAAGGACGAAAATAGTCTGAAATTTTAATCATGACTACGAGATAAAGTAAAAATAGTTTCAAAAGATTTTATCATGGAATGAAAGAGTCCTTTTTCACGAAGAAAAATGGCTATATTAATAACACTCGAGCATGCAACAAGACAAAATTTCACACACATTTTATGCCTTTCTAGTAGTCTCTTTAGAAATGATACTGCAAACATTTAAGACTTATTCTTGCAGTTCTAGTTGTACCAGTTTGATAAAATAGCTGGTACCAAAAGGAATAGCATCATCATTGAAGTTGTATGTTGGTGAATGAAGTTTACCAAATTCATTTCCATTTCCTACGATAATATAAGCACCTGGTCTTTGCTCTAGCATACTAGCGAAATCTTCGGCACCCATTGTCGGTGCTAGGTTTCCATTCACATTTTGTGTACCGACGAGACTTTCAGCTGCTCTAATTGCCTTTTCTGTACATTGAACATGATTGACTAATGGAATTCCTTCTCGATTGTATTGTACTTCAGCTGTACAGCCAAAGTTATTTGCCGTGCCATGAGCCAATTCTGTCATACGTCGTTCTATTGTATTTCGTACTTCATTGGTAAAACTACGAGCAGTGCCACCGATACAAATTTCCGATGGTAAAACATTTAATGAACCAAAAGATCCGCTGTGAATTGCACCGACACTAATTACGGCTGTGTCTATCGGTGAAATGTTACGGCTAACAATTGTTTGCAATGATAAAAGGAATTGTGCCAGTACTACTGTGATATCAGTAGCTAAATGGGGTGCAGCACCATGACCACCAGTACCTCGAAACATAACAGTCCAAGTATCTGCTGCTGCCATCATTGGACCTGGTCGAATCGCAAATTGACCAATTCCTATGTGGGGCCAATTATGTTGTCCGTAGATGGCATCCATCGGAAATCGATCGAATAGTTTATCTGCAATCATACGAATTGCACCATCGAGTTTTTCTTCTGCTGGTTGAAAAACAAAATACACAACTCCACAGAATGAATCTCGATTTTCTGCTAGATATTTAGCAGCACCAAGTAACATCGTTGTGTGGCCATCGTGACCACACGCATGCATGACACCAGAATTCGTTGAAACATAGGGCAAATCATTTTTCTCAATCAGTTCCAAAGCATCCATATCAGCTCGCAAGCCAATAGAACGACTACCAGGAGTATTACTCGTTAACATACCTACTACACCCAGATCACCCACTCCTTCAGTGACAGTCACACCCCATTCTCTGAGTTTATTAGCAACCAGAGTGGCGGTTCGTGTCTCGTTCATAGCTGTTTCTGGATGAGCATGAATGTCTTGACGAATGAGAGCCAGTTCTGGCTGCATCTTGCGTATTTCATTAAGAAGAGTTTCGTCCATTCCCTCAAAAGTGTTATTATCTCCTCAAATGACTTACTATTTAGAAGCAAACGCATGAAACACTGAGAAAGATAAAAAGATAAAAATGAAGAACAATATGCAAGTAATGAAATTGTCATTGACGAAAAGAGTTATCATTGGTGAATAGAAAATATGTAATATATTGCTATGTATTCAAAAGTTAAGTGTATCACTAACATATAAAGTGATTTGCACACCAAATGCTACATACTGTGGAGAACGAAGGGCATTGCTATTATTACCGGACTGACCATGACCAGTGTCTACAACTGTTATACCGAAGATAGAATTCGGACAAAACATTTGTATTCAATGATATGGTACGAAGAGTTGAGCTGAACTATTTCCAGGCCATCCAGATATGTCAGCATATATGTTACGGTCCATATAATCACCAATAAACCATTGTGCAATAGAATGCGCTGAATTCATTCATGCTGTCAAGTCACATGTTATTTCAAACTCACATGCGTATGATTTTTTTATCAACAACATCTTGGGCTAACAACAGAAAGATGACACATTAAGTAAGTCGAACATAATAGATCTGCATATAATTGCCATTATTGGTGACAATTATTTTAAAAGATAGTTTATAAGAATTAAAATTCTAGCGGAATGTATCATCAGAAACTTTTGTATTTTTTGAAGTGCTACATCGTTCTATACTGATCTTGACGATAAAATTGAGAAAAATGCCTTGTCATGGTGTGTGTGTGCATCGGATATGGATACGAATTTGAGTTTGAGTATAAAAGTTCACTTGTGTCATCTGATAAAATAAAACTGTTATGAACATGTACGATCCATAGCGACCTCTATAGCATAGTAATCTTCATCTTTGATCGAATCGAGTATATTCCACCAATATTAACAAATGAACGTTTACTACAAAAGAAGTCGTAATAGAGAGCAAATCATAGTACCTATTTATTTAAATCTAGTCATTCATCTCAATTTTGAGATGTTCTTTTAAGTACGAAAGTGAAAGAAATGACAACAAAAAATATTTCTCCAACTTCGAAAATTCATCATCGACGTAGTAAATTTAAAAAAAACAGTGAAAATACATCGCCAGCAAATCCTAGTGAATGGAGTAACTATGTCTTATTTTGATATTGAACAAGATTTATGTATTTTTTTTCTAGCCATTAAATTTTGTATTATCGGTGCTGCTTGTTCAAATAAACAACTTCTATCTTCACTCGAAGATCGTTATGTATATGAATGTATTGATGATGAAAAAGAAGCAATTCGTACATTAACCGAAACAAAAAATTTATTATCTCAACGTCAATTACGTATTTATGTTGTTGATTCATTTGACGATTGTATATTTCACTATTTAAAAGACAATGAAGATATTTATACGATTAGTTCTGAACTTGTATTATCATGTGCGGAAAAAGAAATTGTAAGAGCTAAACTTTTTTTGTTTCTAAAATTATAATATAACATCATATCTTCAGGATATTCCTGTACCACGAAGGAATCGACCTCTCTATTGTCAACATTTATCTTCAGCTGTTATATGTTTTGTTGGCATTCGAAAAGATACACATGTAAGTTAATAATAGTAAAAAATACGATCATTTTTTTCTCGAATATTTGTTTGTAGACGGAATTCAGTGATTTTGTTCATTATCTTGGTGGATCTGTTCGAAAAGATTATAGTGATCAAGTAACACATGTCATTTCACATGCAAATATCGGCGAAAAATATCTTGTAAGAATAGCTTTTTTGCCAACTAAAATACCTATTTGCCAATGTTTTTAGACAGCATTTAACATGGAAAGAAGTGAAATTCTAACAGAAGAATGGCTTTTACGTTGTTGGCAAGAACGAAACAATCGTCAATTTGATCCATTTGAATCAGAACTTATTCGAATATATCGAGCTAAACCATTACATAATCTTAATTTATTCTTTTTTGGTTTTAATAATGAAAATGAATCAGAACATTTACATACTTTAACTAATGAACATGGTAAATAGGCATTTTTTTGCGGACATTTCTTCATACAAAAAAAATGAATTTCTTTTCAGGTGGATTTATCACAACAGAAATGAGTGAAGCTTCGCATATTGTTCTTTCGGACATGAACCTGTTTATATCGACTTATCCATCATATACACGAAAGCATCGACAATATATTGTTCACGTACAAGTAAGTAATAATTAACAAGGAATCAAACAAAAAATACAATTTATGTATCTGTAGTGGTTTTGGGAATGTTTGTGTTTAATGGGCAAAGCTGATGAATCAATATATACAGTTAATTTAACCAGTAATCAGTCAACAACATCAGATTCTTCATTACTTTTACAATCACCATCAACTCATAGCGAAAGTCCACTACTTGATTCATCAATAAACACGACTGTTAAACGCAAACGTCGACAAAAACATTCGTATATCAATGAACAACAAATTGATCCAATTCAAAATTCAAAACGTTTCAATAGTAGTATGAATGAAAATGAAAATCTGTCAGATGAAAATATCATTGTAGAAAAATCACAAAATATTAAAAAGGATAATAAATATTTAATTGGAATGGAATTACGAGAAACGGAACGAAATTATGTTACGATGTTATCGAATATTATTCGAGTAAGTTCATAGATATTCTTGGCGTTTGTCAAACTTTATTTGTCGGATAGATTTTCAAAACAGAAATGGAAAAAGATGATCGTCGAAATGGTCCTATACTTACAAAAGTTGAAAGTACGCAAATATTTGGTAATATCGAAGAAATCTATCATTTACATTTATTAATTGCTGAACAACTCGATCGGGCTATCACTGAAGATGAATGCATTGGCTCCGTATTTTTAACTAATGTAAGTATGAAAATTCTTTGGCAATAAAATACTTTTGTTTTTGTGACGGTTTTTAGTCTGTTGAACTTTTGCGTGTTTATCAACCTTATACAAAATTCTATGATAAAACTATTGAAGCAGTTCATACATTAGAAAAAAATAATTCTCGATTCTATGCTTATCTCAAAGTAATTTTCTTTTGTATTGAATATTTCTTTTTTAAATCTATTTGCAAATAGATTTGTGAACATAAAACAGAACTTGGTAAACAACATTTAGCTGATTTAATGATACGACCTATTCAACGTTTACCAAGTATATTATTATTACTAGAACGCTTACTTAAATATACACCGGCTACACATATCGATTATCAATTATTAATTGATTCATTGGATAAACTACGTGAAATAGCAAAAAAATTAAATGACGAACGAGGAAAAACAGAAAAACATTTATCGATGTTTAACATTGTCAATAGCATTGACAATTGTCCAGTAAGAGAATGACATTTTGATAGAGTTCGAATTCGTAATTTTGTTTTGATAAATTTTCAGCCCGAATTACTTGCTGCACATCGTGATTATATTGAAAAATTTCAAGTTATTGAACTTTCACAAGAATTAACAACAACACGAACTCATTTAACTCTTTTTCTTTTTTCGGATTGTCTCGAAGTACGATTTCGATAAGCATAAAACTTTTATATTTTTCAGTTCTTTTTCCTTAGGTAACAAAATCACGTGTTAATATATGGAAAACACACGGAATGAAAACATACAAGCATATCGCACTTATTTCATTATGTGACATTCGAAGTTTATTTGATATTAGTCCAGTTTCATTGACTATTGATGGTAAATTGATCCAAAATACTATTGGGATCATCATTTTTTTATTTTAAGAAACTGAACAATTTGGAATACTTTGTTCGATTGATGGTCAAACGTGTCAACTTGTATTTCGTGTGATTAACGGAAATACGAATAGTAATAGTTCGAAATCTTATTTTACTGATTCCATGTCATCATTATCATCGATTTCCACATTATCGAATAGTAGTCATCATGCAAATAATAAAACCGATGTACTTTATCATCTAGCGAAAGCTATTTCCGATGATCGATGTTTACTGGATAAAGTAAATTAGCTTTTAGATTTCAAGAAAAATGAGAAGATAGTATTCATATTTTAGTCTTCACTAATTCAAACCATTACGAATTCGAATAATAATCATCATATGTATTGTTCTCAGACGTCACTTGAGAATTCAGAAATTGATTCAGGTTTACGTTCAACCAGTAGTTTGAATTTATTGGGTTTAGCACTCAAACGGTAAGGAATTTTTTTTTCTTGAATTAATTAATATTACATCTATTCGAATTTTAGTGGCCTTCACAAAGCAAATAAACGGTTAAGTCGAGCTTTTTCATTCAGTCCCGAGCCCAATAAACATTTGACGAAAAAGATTACTAGCCCAATACATTCATTACAAGACGAATGGTCGAATAGGAGCGTACTATCAAGACAAGTAAATGTTCGACTGATTTAACTTTTTACATGAAAATTCTGTCTATTTAGGATTCGTTTATCAAAACTGATCATCATTTGTGTTCTTCGCCATTCATGCAATCCATCCAAGAACGTAAGTTTATGACATGACTTTTCTCTCGATTTATTTGATTTCTATACTTTTAGAATGAATGTTTAGCAAGCTCAATAATCTTCTTTCTTTTCCGCTCTTTTATGTCTGATATATTTCACCTTTCTCTCTCTCTGTACATCAGTAACCTGTTCTTCAATAGTACTTTAATGTGTGTGTGTATGTGTGTTTTCTTACGGACTGCAATCATGAAAATAGGTTCGCTTTTATGGCTGATAAAAAAAATATTTTTTTTCGCTCACAACAGAAAACTCAATGTATTTTTCGCTTTTCGGAATAATCTTCCAGAATACTGTTTCGGTTAGTGTTATGTTACCCTTTTTCTTTCTCTCTGTGTATTTATCAGATGTGTTCCACAATAAGAACTATCAATAGAAGACGAAAAAAAACATAGTGCAATTTCTATGACATATAAATGACTCATATCCTCAATTGCATCATATTAGTGACGTGACTGTATAAATTGACATACATAAGTTAGAAATAGAATTTTCTTACATAATTATTTTCAGATCATGGCAACATCGGAGAATACCCTCGATATTAATCTGCAAAATTTAAAAGTCGAAGAATCGACTACGCCGAAACCGGAAGTAGCCAACGCTGCCACTACGGAAAAAGTGGCTAAACCAAAAAAAGAAAAGCCTAAGCAGGACAAACCCAAACAAGAAAAACCTAAACAGGAAAAGCCCAAGCAAGAAAAACCTCAAGCTACTGATGAAGCACCCGCAGAAGTACTGGATTATAATCGATCGCCTGAAGAAATTGAAAAGGCATTGGAAGAATGGTCTAAGAAACCATTGACAATGAATAAACGACAACCTGATGAAAAAATGTAAGAAATAACTCGGTAATCGTTTAAGATATTGTAAAACACGATCGTCCAGGAAGGTTAAAGGTCATAGAGTACGAATTATTTTCAGGATAGGTACTAACTACATTGTGTTTCACTTTTTAATCCTATACGCAGCTCACTAGCATGTTTACTATGATTATTATCTCTTCATAGATTACCAAAACCTGATGTTCGAAATATCATGATAACAAGTGCTTTACCATACGTCAATAATGTTCCTCATTTGGGTAATCTTGTTGGTTCTTTACTAAGTGCTGATGTTTTTGCTAGGTAAAATCAAATGAATTTCTATTTATTCGTTGTATTTTAGTGCAAAATTTTTAGGTATTGTCGATCGAGAAATTACAATACCTTATTTATTTGTGGTACTGACGAATATGGTACAGCCACTGAAACAAAAGCACTGGAAGAAAAATGTACACCAAGAGAAATCTGTGACAAATATTATGCATTGCATAGAAAAATTTATGATTGGTTTCAATTAGAATTTGATTTTTTTGGACGAACATCTACACAAAAACAAACTGAGTAGGATTTTCAGCGTTGAATGAAAACTAGTTATTTATGTGTGTTTATTTTAGAATTGCTCAAGATATTTTTTGGAAATTACACAAACGAAATCTTGTTTCTAAAAATACTGTTGAACAATTATTTTGTGAAACTTGTCAACGGTAAAAACTTATTTTTTATTATTATTCAGCACTTATGTTATAGGCCTCTATGTTTTTAGTTTTCTAGCAGATCGTTATGTAGCCGGTACTTGCCCAGATCCAGCATGCAAATACGTTGATGCTCGTGGTGACCAATGTGATAAATGTGGAAAATTAATTAACGCGATTGAACTTGTTGAACCTAAATGTCAAATTTGTCGTTCAACACCACAAATAAGAAAATCTGAACATCTATTTCTTGATTTACCAACGGTACAAAAATCTATTATCTTATTTATATCTATCTCCTCTTTTTTTTTTATTTAGCTATCACCTGATGTTCAATCATGGTTTCAAAACTCAAGCAAGACTGGCCATTGGACAAATACAGCAAGTGCAATCACTGAAGCTTGGCTTAAAAAAGGTCTAGAACCGCGCTGTATTACACGCGATCTTAAATGGGGAACACCAGTACCTTTGGAAGGGTATACAGATAAAGTAATTGTCATCAACTTGACTTTTTTTTTACATGTATAAATCGTTATTTTTTGTAAAGGTTTTCTATGTATGGTTTGATGCACCCATTGGATATATATCCATTACAGCAAATTATACCGATGAATGGGAAAAATGGTGGAAACAACCGGATCAAGTAAGATCAATGATTTAGTTCGTAAAAATAAATCTGAATTTTCGAAATATAATTTTAGGTTTCATTATTTCAATTCATGGCTAAAGATAATGTACCATTTCATTCCGTTATCTTTCCAGCTTGTCTCTTGGGAACACAAGATAATTATACAACAGTAAATAATCTCTCTGGCATAGGTATTTATTGATTATTTTTTTTCTTCCAATTAACGTGTTCTGCCTTTTATATTTAAGATTATCTCAATTATGAAGACGCTAAATTTTCTAAAAGTCGTGGTATTGGTGTATTTGGTGATCATGCACAAACTACAGAAATTCCTTCGGATATTTGGAGATTTTATCTTATGTATGCTCGACCAGAAACACAAGTTAGAAATCTCTTTTGATCCTTAAAAAATACTTTTTTTTAACGATTATTATAGGATAGTGTATTTTCATGGACTGATTTAATGTCGAAGAATAATTCCGAATTATTGAATAATTTAGGCAACTTCATTAATCGGTAAATAAATTGTCTTTTCAAGAAAAAAAAACAAAATCATCACTCGTTCTTCTATTATTAGAGCGATTGCTTTTTGCGAAAAAAATTTTGGTGGTAAAATTGGTGATGCTACTCAATTAGAAGCAGAAATGGATCGAAAATTTGTTGCTCAAATTACTTATGAACTAAATGGTTATTTAGAAGCAATGGAAAAGACCAGGTAAATTAATGTTCTTGTTTTTCTTCGTCTCGCATATTGACTTTTATCGCCTAGACTTCGTGATGGTATTAAATGTGTTTTACGCATGTCTCGTTATGGTAATCAATTTTTACAAGTAAAAGAACCATGGAAAAGATGTAAAGGTTCCGATGCTGAAAAGTAATATTTTCTTTCTATATCTGTCATCCAAAATATTTCGATTTATTTTAGACGCGATGCTGAAATTAGTATCACTCTTGCATTAAATCTCGTTTATTTACTTTCATTGGTTCTTCACCCATTTATGCCAACAACATCGGATGAAATTCGACAACAACTCAACATTCAAGAAACGACTTATGCATTAGATAATGCATTTCGTTGCTATTTACCAGTCGGTCATACTATCGGTCAAGCCAGACCATTATTTAAACGTGTTGAACAGGCTTTGGTCGATGAATATCGTTTACGTTTTTCAGGTCAAAAAAAATAAGCGTCGTCAAAATCTTTGTTGTGTTTCGTTTGTTGCTGATGTTATTCTCATTTAACTTAAAAAAAGAATAAAAATACATGATTTACATTAATCTAGCACGAGAAAAAAACAGCATCTATCTAGTGCATACAAGTGCGTCAAAAGTTTTGAGGTACAATGTTTTTTATTGACCCGAAAAACGTTAAATCAAATTTTTAGTTCATTCCTCATTGCCAAATACAACGTTGCGATTAATCATGTCTTTTTGTAAAAAGAATGCACAAACTGTGTTACATATAAAGAGAATTTATTTAGTATGAGATCTCTATCTATTCTATAGAACGAAGGACAAATTTTTTATTAATTGACTAAAGTAAGACATGTTTGTTATGGATCAGGAGTGGAGTTGTACTAATCTACCAACGTAAAAGAAGTGATTTATGTTGACTAAGTCCAAACGCCATAGCAGTAAAACCGACGAGTGAACCAACAGTGCGAACAAGATGAAGTAAAGCCCATTTGTCAAGTAGTTCTTTTTGTGTAGCAGCATTAATTTGACTTTCGCTTCCTGCTTGAATACGTTTATTATCGTTAATAATACGGAGATTGGTTGGAAGCATACAAATAACAGTATAAGGAATTACGCCAATAAATATGGCTCCAGCAGCGATCCATAAATTACGATAAAATGGTGCACGAACGATACGTGTTCCATGTAAAACACCTGCTACACCAGCTAATACAGCGAAACTAGCTTGTGATACAGCTGCTCGTTCGTACATGTAGGGAAAAAATCGCCATTGTATGTCACCGCCGATTGCTCGCATAGCCGGTACTTCACCAATAGTCATATATAACGCTGTGCCAGCAAATAGTCCTGCGGAGAGGACAGCCACTTTATCAAGATGATCGAGAATGGAAACTGCTGTTGACGACATAGTCAAAATCTTCAATTAAGAATAAGACTTTGAATTTATTCATTTTCATTATAAACAAGTATAAAGAAAAGAAAGAGAAAAAAAAACACAACAAACTACATTGCATCAGATAAACATTATGACGAGAACAGCAACTACAAATATGCAGAATAAGAAAAAAAATAATAACGACGATGATAGGAGAAAGAAATTGACTAATCATATCTGACACTCGTTTTTCTGAGAAAATTCTTTCTTAAATCAATCGTTCTTCTGGTGGCGGTTTTAAGATCATACTGAATTCTACGCGTGAACTTTGACCATTTTCATTTAATGCCGGCCGGTATGTGCCTCGCGATCGTCGACTCTCACGAATACGACCAATGATGACCGTGAATAGAATAATTACTAACAACAATAGTACAGCTACACCAGGCCATATAACATAATGATAGGAAAATTCCCATGCAGCGAGAAATTTCTAAAATCGAAACAAAAAATGTAGTTTTTCATACAAAAAACAAAATTTCATTCTCTACCTTGCTTTCACAATGAAGTCCAGTAAACGTTTTTGAACACCCACACATATATCCATCGATCAGAACAATACAACTTCCATTATTTTGACATGGATTACTAAGACATTCATTGATTTGTGTCGTACATGTTTCATCTTCAAAACCTATTTATTTTAAATTAATAATCTCAATGAAAATTATTCGAAAAAGTTCTTCTCTCAAATTTTACCTGTTCCTGTACAATTACAAATAAATCCTCGGTCACTATCGAATTTACAAGAGCCATGATTTTTACATGGCGTTGATTCGCATGTTGGAAATTCACAATGCGTACCTGAATAAATAGAGAACAAACGTAAACTTTGTTTTTAAATAATTTATTTTATTTTCGCACACCTGTAAAGTGTGACGAACATTCACAATAGTATTGTTCACCGTTGGTTCGACATTGTCCATTGTTGTGGCATGGCGCACGTTCTAAACAAGTATGTTTTTGTTCACAATGTGTTCCAAGATAATTTTCTCCACAATCACATTTATAACCACCCGGATAATTCCGGCATGTACCATTATTTAAACACATATTTGTTTTATTCATAGTACATTCGTCTATATCATCTTGACATTTATTTCCGTGCCATTGTTTTGTACATAAACATTTCGCTGTTTGATTTGGTAATCTCTGGCAGGTACCATCGTGTTGGCAACTCAGTTCTAAACATAAATCATTTTCACACCATTGACCACTATAACCATCTTGACACTGACATTTAGTTTCAGGATTATCAACGTGAAGATTTGAACCTTTTAAAATGCATGTACCATTATTTTGACAAGGTTTTAAACGACCAAAACAAGTTTCATCCAGTGACATAGAACAATGTGAGCCAATATAATTACTAGTACAATTACATTCATAACCATTGATTAAATCTTTACAAATACCACCATTTGCACATGGAGAAGATGAGCATTCATCAATATTCTCTTCACAACTAAAATTCAGCATCAAACCAAATCTCATTAATTTTTCATTCTAAGTTACTGATGAATTTGTAAAGAGTAACTCTATGAAAACGACTCGTTGACTTCTTTTCTTTTTTTCTTAAATATTAATTTTCTATTATTCATGACTGATGAAAAGTCATTCCTTACAGTCGATGCCATGACCTCATACTTGCTAACAACTCGAGTAAATCGAGATATAGACACGTTTGCGAATTTGCCTACGGTCATCTCATGTCTAATGGTACCGAAGCTAAGTAGCCAAAGGTACTCATTAGAAGAGACTAAATTAAGTAAAGAAGGCGAAAAAAAACGTTTATTGACGAAAGTACGCAATTAAGAATACTAAATTTGATTCAGATAGAATCAATAGCAAAGGCAAAATACATCGATGATATAAAATATGAATCATACGTTTCATTTTCTTGCAATTAAAATTTTTCTTTTTACAGTTACGTAAAACTATTGAACGCTGCACAATCTATACAGCTGCGTTACTACCGATGAAATTAATGTGTCTAGTCGTAATCGTAAAAAGAATAGCAACAGCTGTGACGAATAGCTAATTAGGAAAAAAAAAGAACTTACTATGTTCCATTGAATCCTTGATTACATTTGCATGTATAATATCCATCAAGATGATCTTCACAAATACTATGTTCTTTCGAACAATTATTTCCTTGTTGACACTCATCGATATTTTTATTACAATAATCACCTTCCCATCCATGATTACACGAACATTTTCCATGATCAAAATCAGGAATGCATTGTCCATTAGTACAATTTAAATTTTCACATATATTATTAAATGTACAATTATTAATTTGTACATTTTCAATTTGTTCTACATGAATATTATTACTACGTGTATCATTTTCAATTAATGTGTCATTATAAAATGGTATATAAAGATTTTCACCTAATAAAACATGTTCTAAACAACCACGAAAACCATTGCCAAGGTTTATTTCAATTTGATTATTTAATACGAATATATCTTCAAATGTAATATTAATTGTGTATGTATAGAAATGATTGAATATTAATGTTGAATCATTTGACCATTGAAAATGAAACGTTCGCCATGGCTCTAATGTTTGATTATTGAATTCCATTAATACATCATGAATTGATATTGAATCACGATAAATGAGATTTTCTTCCGATAGATATAGAGAAAAATAATTTAAATTTAGTAAATTTTTTATTGTTAACAGATGTGCTGATTGTGAATTCGCACGTAAACGAAATGATAGTTCATTGGACAATATTGAATTATAATTTAATATGCCAATCAAGTGACTTGAATTGCCTTCGAATGTTCCTGTGGCTAAACATTCTTGATTATTATCGATTGTTTTACAAATAAATCCATTCGGACAAAGGCTACTGTTATTATAATGACATAGATCTATTTGTGAACAATTTTGACCGAACCAATTTAATTCACATTGACATCTGATGAATTTTGGAAAGAAGAGAAGAAAAAAATATAATATTAAGATACAGTTTAGCAGATAATTTGTATTTATCATATGGAATGTGTGTATGTATGACGCCAAAAAAATAAAAAGGAATTAAAAAAGAAAAGAAGAAAGAAACTGTCGACACAATGATTTGAACTTTTCGACCAAACTGAACGAAGAGAAAGAGAGAATAGGATTGCATTGTGACCGCCGTTCTGTCTTACCTTTCCTATTCTATTATAGTACAGAGAAGAGAAGAGAAAGAAAAATGGGTCGCATTTTGGTCATGAGAAGCTAGACGTGCAATAGAGGTGACACGAGAAAAAAGGACAGTGGCATAGCTGTGATTGTGTACACATAGTACTTAACCTAGAGGATGAATTTATCCACTCAAGGTTCAGAAGCTCGTCACACACAGAAAAAAAATTGTATTGAAGTGTGCCACTTGAACTAACTCAGAATGTCTTTCTGTTTATTCGTCAAGTGTACTCCATGTTGGAGTTTGTCTACAGTTATGTGCTAATGAAAACTTCACTTACATGTATTCCTGCGAATTTGCTACAAGACATTGAGCTTGATTTTGACATGGACTTATTGGATAGCAAGGATTTGTTTCTAATGTTTTCATATTTAAAATTGTCATGTTGAAATCTTTGTTGGGTTCAGTTGTATTTACAAGTGAAATTAATTGATCATTAATTCGTAGATCTTGAAGCCACCCATCTAAAGATCCGTATGGAATCAGCTGAAGTTTATTGGGCATTATTTTATTGTTGATTGTTGTTAAAGATTCATTATGAATTCGATCAATAATCAATCGATTATTATTTAAATCAAGTTGAATCTGATGTGGACGACCATCGTTTAATATTTGTTCATTGCGTAATTCATATTCCTGTGGATTATGTTCATTGTCCATAATAATCAAATGAAAACGACCATTGAATAATGTACCGAGAATTTTCGAGAGTGATCGATTTTGTGGAGTTAAATCACGACTAAATCTATTTAGTTTCGACGATGATATCAACTGAAATAATGTTCCATTCGATTGGCGTGTATTGAAAAGAAATGAAATATTTGATATCAACGATGAAAGTGAAATAGCAATAAAACTCGTTTGATTAAACAATACAATAGGAGCAACTAGACGAGCAAGTTTTCATGTGAGTAAAAAAAATCAATTAAAAAAATGTGAACGTACTTTGATCACATTTTTCACCGAAAAATGGTGACTGACATTGACATGTATGATAGAACCAATGGTCATGACATAATTCATTTTTTTGACAAACTGCAATCTGACAAGCATTCATTCTGAAAAAAAGAAATATTGATATTGAAGTAATTATCAAAATTAAGAAATACTATTAGTTTTAATTCAAAATGCTCTCAACCGTTTGCTTTGATATTACCTCAAGCGATTATAACCGGCGGTCGAACATGCATCTATTTAATTGAAACCCTACTATTATACATCAAGATATGTCATGCGAATATTTATCCATTATTATAATAAGAATATGAATATCAATATTTCAAAAGCAGTAACAAAGCCGGTCGCCTTCGGATAGGCTTCCATGACCTCGGCTAGCTAACTTTTTTTTCCAGAAACGATAATAAAATTGAACTTCAATGATTTCTATCAATATAGTTGACTTTTCATGAACAATAAATATTTACCTTTCACAACCCAATGTTCTATATTCATCTAATTTTACTAATTTGTCAGTCAATAGAATCGAATATGCTTGATTGTAGTTAACTTCAATTTGCCGAACACAACCAGAATAATTTCCAGAACCGAAGATAATTTCTTCTTGAAGCTCATATTCAAACGAAGGACCCAATACATAAAATCTTTGTGACATAGAAGTTTCGCCAACGCGTACATCAATCCATAGACGAAATACTTCGACAATAATCATTATCCATCGCTCTTGATTATCAATGAATGTTGATAACACTATTCTATTATCTAAATTAGTGACTATTCGATTATTAATGAGTTCTTGTCGAAAACGTGTTCCAATTGATAGAAGTGAAACTCGATTTAATGTTGTGCGAAATTCATATTGAATACGCATAGGCAATAATGTATAACTATAAGGTAATATTTTTGATATGTCTATTAATGAATTTCGCAATTGAAACGTCGATGAAGTACTTGTTCGTGATATTAAAGATTTATGAGTTGGATTTTGTCGACGATCACAATTATAACCATACCAGCCAGTTTTACATTGACATTTGTAACCATTGATTAAATCAAAACATTCACCATTTGACGAACAGGGTCTTGTATAACATTCATTGATATTTATTTCACAGAAGAGACCTGTGTAACCAGGTAAACATACGCATTCAATTGTATGATTATTGATTTGACATAGACCACCATTTAAACATAGACTTTTATTTGATTGTGTTCGACATAGATCAATCGATTTTTCACAATAAATTCCTTTATAATTAAATGGACATTGACATTGAAATGTATTGTTTATGTAATCATTACACCGGCCATTATTTTGACAAGGTCGAGACAAACATGGTGCTTGATAAATTTCGCAATTATTACCTGCATAACTCGATGAACAGTTACATTTATATTTATTATTATTATTTTCACGTTGACATTGACCATTATTTAAACAAGGATTACTTTCACATGGATCAATTAGATCTTGACAATAGATACCCTTTGAGTTTGTTGAACATAGACATGTAAATTTATTTAAGTTTGATATACATGTACCATTGTTATAGCATGGTTGACTTGAACAAAGATTTATCTCATTAAGACAATCAGGACCAGACCAACCGGGTGGACAATAACAACGATAATTGGTTGAATTTGACCAAAAGCATGTACCACCATTACGACAATTGCAATTAGATTTCGATTCAAGAGCATCATCAGCACAAGATATTAAATCTAAATGAAACAGACGAAGGCCTTATTTATACCCCGTTGCTCAGTACCGTAGTTCGATTATTCCGAAACAAGTGACATTCTTTAGAAATTTTTGACTCACTTGAAGGACAGCCACATTGATCTGCTGTTTTTTCTTTGAGACATAAAAAATATGTATCAAGCATATGATCTTGTTCGGTTCTGCACTTTAATGTTGATAAGTGATTGATTTGCTTTAATTTTTCTGTATCATTAGCAATACATTGATATGGATCGGCACATTTTAATGATAGATTTTTTTGTTGCAACCGTTGACAATCCAATGGAGAATATTCACAACGTTTACCTACGAGTAAAAATGAGAAATAAATGATGATATCAAGTTCGATTTAAATCATACCATAATAATCGGTAGGACATTGACAATGAAAACCACCGTTATAATTATGACATGTTCCATTGTTCATACATGGATTCAATGCACATTCGTCAATATCATATTGACAAACATCACCTGTAAACGACGATAAACAGCGGCATTGAAAACCATTTATCTATTCAAATTTGATGTTTTTCGATTAAAAAATTTTCCACCCAGAAAAACGTACTTTACTAATACATGCGCCATTACGATTACATGGTTGTGATTGACAGTAATCGATAGCTTTGGCACATGTTGAGCCAACCCAACCCGTTGGACAATAACATCGATATGAACCGATTTCATTCGTACATCTTTCAACGCAAAAAACAAGGCTTTTCAAGAGTCAGCATTCGATTTAAATAACTTACGTTCCGCCATTTCGACATATCGATGGAAAAACTGCGCATTCATCAATATCTTCATCACATAGAACACCTGTATATGTCGGTGGACACATACAGCGATAGTGACCACCTTTCAAATTGTAACAGGTGGCATTCGAATAACACGGTGATGAATAGCAAGGATTTTCTTCAACACATACACCATCTGCGTCTAAGTAAAGAAAGCATGAAATCTTTACTAACAAAATTTAATCACTAATTTCGTTATACTTCGTTTAAAATTTGGTTTACATTGGCAATCAAACGAATTTAAACCATCCACGCAATGTGTATTATTTTTCGGACAAACAATACCCTCGCAATCATTGATATTCGTTTCACACTGATGACCCGTAAAACCTGCTCGACACGTACATCGAAAAACAACATTGTCACTTTCAAGAATCGGATGGCATTTTACAGCATCATTTAAGCATGGCTCAGATAAGCATGGATCAAGTATCTAAAGAAAATTATCAAAACCGTTGCTTTTTTTTGTTAAACGCAAACATATTGTTGACTATGAATCATGCTTAAGTGTCTTCTCGCCTCCCATCACAGATGTTGCTGTAGAATAATGATCAAAGAGCTAATGTCTTTTCTATCAATCGGTTAGATATTTGCCCTTAGAAAAGTAATCCTCTGACCGTCTTGATAGGCTTTAGTAATTATTTTCTCTCGTGTTATTCATCATACCATTTCACAATTTTGTCCGCCAAATGTATCAAGACAATCACATTTATACGTTCCCGGTAGATTAATACAAGCTCGTGCTGCTTTACACGGTTGTATTGTTTTACATTCATCAATATCTTCCGAGCAATCGATACCGGTCCAACCTGGATCTAAATATTAAAACGACAAAATATTTGTTTTTCCCACTCGCTATTCAATGATTTTAATCCTCATACCACAAACACAAGTATAACTATTCGGTGAATCAATACAACGACTATGTTTTGGACATGGACTTGATTGACATTCATCAATTTCATATTGACATCGATCACCAGCAAAGCCTAGAAAAAATATTGATATTAATCAATACTATGGACTGAGAAGAAAATGATTAACTCTACCGGGTGGACAAACACATTGAGTAACATTCCTTAATAAGTCAACATAACAGTCACCCTGATTTTGACAGTGATCATGTAAACAACGTACAGGTATTGTTTTCAAGCCACATTCTAAATCTATCATGAATAGAAAAATCATAAACTTCACTGGGAAAGTTCGATCTTTTCTAACTCACTAGCAAATGGTCGACAGTCAAATATGTTAAAAAGTGGACAATACTGTTCCGCATTATTCATCGGCGTACATGTTCGATGTTCTAAAAATTTCATAGAAAATGTTTTATGTTCTCTACAAAAAAAAGACCTTCATTGCTACTAACCACAAGTTTTAATATTAATTAAACAATCTTTGAATTTTGTATCAAAACCTGAATAAGGTAATAGACATGTAACATTCGCTTGTTGTTCATCGAGTAATACATTAACATTTAATTCTGTCTTCAAATAATTAATCGGATAATCAACTAATGGTATTAACCGTGTTTCGTCGCCATTAAACGATATAAATACTTTGGATAAATGATCATCAAATGTTACATTAACATAATGCCATGTATCGATCTCATGATAATAATCAATGGCTGTTTTAAATTGATAATCGAAACTAGCCGAATCGGGTAATAATAAATTAAAATTTCCAAATTTATATTCAAGTTGTTCATTTTTATATGTATATAAAACATGTAGACGAAAGTCTTTTGTAATCAATCGAAAATATTGGCTGTTCACTGGATGATAATGTTCAATATTAATTAAGTCAACATGAAGTAAACATGTACGATAACTGAATGCGATACTTTTTGATGATATTTTATGTAATATTATAAGGATAAATAAAAAATAATAATAAATTGAATTTTCTACAAGTTTACCTTGAAACATTTCAAGTTGTCTTTTTTTATTTTTCTTTCCTTCGTCAATAATGACAACGCATGGGGACAATCATCATCGTCTATATTCATTACAGAGATATACATGTCGAACAACGACGACGACGGACGACGGACAGGTCAATAGATTTGAAAACATCAAACAAACAAACAAAACGAAAGAGAAAAAGAAAGAAAAGTGACTGACCTCATTCAAATGAAGAGAAAAGGAGGAGAATGACAAGGAAGTCCATGTAGATACATTTATTTGACGTTTCAATTTCTTAGGTATACACAAGCTCGGTGAACGTGGGATATGAGATATGCTAACATTTGATAATCTCTTTTTTGTCTATCGAACTTAACATATCTACGTCAACAAGAATGTAAATAAAAGAAAAAACTAACACCGAGTAAAAATATTTTACATTGTAAGCCAAAACGTTTTTCTTTCTCATTAACCATGAATAACAGGTAATAATAGATCCATACGTGATTATCGTATCATCTTTCATACTTGATTATACTATGTACGTTTTAATTGGATATTGTAGGAAGCATGTGCGTGAATTTCAGGGTATGATTGATGAATAAATGAGAGAATAATTATTATGGTCGTATAGAATGCTGAAAAATATTTGAATTTGAATGAATGAATATTTGTTGATGATGGGCGGAGTGAAATTTTAGTTTTGATATAGCAACGTTCACATGTATAATCGTCGGAAAAATTTTGTCAATTTAGAAACTTCTTGGGTTTTTGTTTACTGACGCCAACTATTATCTTTTTCGATTTGATGTGATTTATGTTGTATTAGAAGATATGAAAGGACATCATTTTCAAATGATACTGAGAGGCGAACAAACAGCAGCTAATAGAGGATATTAAGCTTGTTTTCTTCACTAATCTCTTCAACAGTTAACATAGACAAAACGAGATATTCGATACGTTTTATGAATTTAAAAAAGTCATTACTCGATGAGAGCTGACATTTATTTATTCATTGAAAGTGACCAATGATCAAAATGTGTATCGACCGAATATTACAGTTTACTCTTCTAGTCTCATATTTGTTGCACTTAAATATAGATATCGATCTGTTTCTTAGTGACAATAACCTTTTTCTGTGCAATTTATTTAACATATGATTTTCTGTAGTCGATGTGTGTAGATAATTCGATATAGGTCTAATCTTCTTCACTTACGTGCTAAGATTGTTCAAACGAATCGATATCGATGATAAACTGAATTTCGAATGGCAATCAAATCAAAAGAATTTAAAAATTTTCCATTCATGAAGTATGTGCTTCGTTGGAGCTAATTTGTAAAATGTGAAATTTTGTTAAATTTCGATAGTTATCTCTAATGTTTGCATCAATATAGATTTTTTTTCTCGATAGTTTCATTTTGAAAAATTCTTACTAATTTGCCATGTCGAATCCTGTAGTCATAATTTTTTCGTACACTATCTGTGTAATGAGAGAAACATTTTTGTTCTCTGGGAAGATGTATTTATGTTCTTCTAATTTCTGCTGTAAAAAAGTGTTAATGAAGCGAAGGCCATTCAATTCAATCGATTGAATGCAGTTAGTTTACTATCAATTATCGGCAGTCAATAATGAGTAACGAAACGCTAGTAACCATTCATTTACCTAAGGAAAGAGTATTTTACGATGTTAATGATATATTGACACGTTGATCAAAATAACCGGAAATCAAGAAATTCGAATCCATAAGCGTTCGTTCTTGTGAGTATGTATGTATGTACTTATTTTCATACCTATAACGATGGAACAAAGAACTGGATCAAATTTCTATGTATCTACGCGCCACAAATCGCAAGTTTCATCTATATTACATGAACAAACAAAGAACATGAAAACAACACGGCTATAGAAAAATTATCATGTACACGAACATAAACATTCTGTCTGCTGAGATATGATAAGAAACAGTAAAATGAGAGTTTCGTAATTACTTCATCTCCATTCGTTAAAAGAAGACCATAATAGAATATATTTTATTTTTTTTCTAACATTTAATCTCGGCAATAACTGTTTTGAATTCAAAATAACTTCACATTATTTTATCTACATTTTAAATCTTGAAAATGTATGGGCAATAGTTCGCGAATCGACCATCGACAATGCCACTGCGTATAACTCGTTTATTGAATAACTAAAAAAACGGATTCATCGTGTACTGAAAGCAATTTTTTCGTTGCACCGAAATTTGTTCTCGTATTTTAGGCTATAGAAGTTTTCAAGCTGAGTCTTTGCGACGTATTTGGTTTGTTCAGAAAAATGATTAGACGGTGAAAGCATTAATATAGTGCAAGGCTATATATGATGACCCACTTATTATATACTCCAAAAAATTCGAACAACTTTTCATATGAATTCGCGATAGCAAATTATTATTGCGAATAATCAAGTTTATGCAAAAGACAACATGTCATAGGGAACAATAAGAACTTCAACAATGATGATTTTTTCGACGATCACTGGAATGCTTCTTTTTGCGATGTTCGCCATGACCCTTGCCCCGTCCCTTGCTTCGATGAGAGCCGTCGCTACTACTAGAGCTGCTATTGTGACGATCTCTCGAGCCACTTTTATGGCGATCTTTGGAACCACTTTTATGACGATCTTTGGAACCACTTCTATGGCGATCTTTGGAACCACTTTTATGGCGATGGCGTTCACGAGAGTGTTTACAATCTCGACCTTTACTAGAATGACTATCGCTTGAACTGGAGCTATCGCTTCGGCGACGTCCATGATCGCAATCCTTTGCATCACGAGAGCCACTACGATGTTTTCGATGCTTTTCCTTGCGTTGACCGTGGTTCTTTCCTTTATTGTGGCGTCCATCGAGTTTGTTCTTTGATACTTCACTTAGCTCAGATAGGTTTTTGGCGGCAAAACTATTTGTTTCGTTTTGTTGCGCGTTCCACTTGAGTGACATATCGAATCAGTTACTGGTGAAAACAAATATCAATCTAAAATACACATATTTTCAGTTATCATATGAGAAATGTTCACACAAATGCTATAGAACATCACTCGATCGATCGATGAATGAATGATCTAAACTCATATTAAGTAACAACATTGGAATATTCTACGGGTTAAATACTTCTATATGTATGCAAGTATGAGTCATTATATCTGTTGTATCGATTAGATTGTATGAATCATATGTTTTCACTTATAAAAATACTCCTACTATGATCCTAGAAAAATATCATATTCCTGAGACAGCATAAACGAATTAAATACGCTGATTCACCAGCTGAATATTGATTACTAAAATAAGACTGAATAACATGAAGGCGTTTTGTTTTGATGGCGACAATGGCTCATGTCAACTATTCGTCTTTTCCTACACCTCTATCTACAAAAGTATATTGACTAAAAGTTAGCGTGACGCTTTGTATGTTTATATTTTCATACGAACTGACAAGAAAGAATATAGTACCTACAGTGTAATTTTAATCAACTAACGAAATTCAAATACATGAATTGTATGAACATTTATATGCTTATGAGAACGTTATTTTAGCAGCAGTAGGGCTAATTGTAACTCAAATTGTTAAACTATTACTACAAAAGCTAATTTATTAGTTAAAAGAAATTTCTGGAAAGGAATAATTCTCTTGATGACCCTTGCCTATTAAGTATTCCAGACTTCTCAACATACTATGTACTATTATTTGCTAATTGATCCTCTGTATTGATAAATAATTATAAATCATTCATATTCACATCGGATGCTTTAATATACGCTTTGCAAAAAAATCATTAATTAATATTTCATAGTCGTGCCAAGATGAAAACAAGGTTATTATTTAATTTTTGTTGATGCCAATGTAATCGAATACAATCACAATGGTAGAATATTTACTTTGTGTGCTAAATCTTTAGCAGAAAAAATGGTAGCTTGATCACAGTGAATTGACATATTCAATCTCAACTGGATATCGTATAACATGTATCATGTTACTTATGTTAAGAGTGAATATTGGACAAAAATATATTTTGCTGCAGATTTTTGATATCATACTAGTTGTTGTTTTTCTGCTTATGATAATAGCATTAGTATATACAACTGCTGGTCGTGTTTTGATTTACTAAACTTGAGGGTGTGGATGTGTGAATGTGTTTATCATCTCTTAATAAACACCCACACCCACACCTTCGAAAAACTGAAAAGAAAGTCATGCAGTCATTTATTGCAGTAGAATAGCGCAAATTTTCTCGAAGGAAAACATTTTACTTCAGTTCTATTTCTATAATATTTTGATCACAATAAAGAAAAAATTTCAGTTTTTTAATGCGCGATTTCGAAAAACAGCTGGTATATAACTTGTTCTTATGATTAGATCATCAAGAAGTTCATAGTAATGTACAAAATTATATGCGCATGGATTATCTACTTGACTGTGCCGTTCCTTTACCTATGAAAAAGAAAAGAAAACGATGTAGAGAAATGATCTCATATGTGCTAATTTGCACATATTCACCGCAAAAACAACAGTTCGATTGAGCTTGAGCTACATTAACTTGAGAATATGCGATGACTCTTTTTCCATTGCAGAAACTGTAGTCAATGTAGGTCTGACACGTATAACCAGTAATTGGCTCAAAGTACCCACTTGTATCGACACAGGCTAGGTGAAAATAGAAAATACATTATGTTTTACTCAGATAGTACAGGAATAAACGTAGATAGTAGCTGTTTTAAAATACAAAATACATTTGTAGGAATTTGTATGAAAAGTGTTTCGCAGTGGTGGTAATGTTCTGCTAAAAGGCTTTTCTTTAGGTAACCCTACCAGTGACGAAAGGACTTTGAGAGTCACTTTTCAGATGATAAACGTTTCAAGTTTTATTTACCAGTAGTACTAGTAGTTATTCGTGTTAGGGTGGTAGTCGACACAGAAGTAGTCGTCGTCGTTGTTTTCTTTTCTGCGGTGACAGCAGCTGTTGTTCTTGGTGTTGTATGAACCTTCTTAGACTTCTTCGTACCTATATAAAAAGCGAATAGATAAACAAGTAGCTATGAAAAAATAAGAAATTTTACCTATGAATGATAAGTATGCAAGATCAATGATGGGAATCGAACTGATGATTCCGAATTCTTTTCCATCATCATCAATTATAGTAACATTGTTGAGAATTATACTATCAGTTTTTACTCTGCTGGGAAGTGCCACTTCTAATAAAGCACCAGCTTTGTTTATGCATGAATCCGAACATGTGCTTTTAAAATTCACATAGAACAGTAACTGTACGACGGCGACTGCCCCTGCACGCTTTTGTATTGTACTAAAAAGATATGCATTGCTGAGAAATCAATTGTTTAAGTAATACATTTGTAATTTACTGTCGTTTTCTTTTAGTATTTATCGCTGTGATTGTAACTTCAATAATGGTTATACTCTGTGCATCATTAGTTACATCAACAAACATATTTTCGATCTAGAATGAAACAAACTAATCAATGTTGAGATGAGTGTACGAAAAAAGAGAAAATCAAAGTTATATATCGATCGAATGTCTTAGAAAAATCAGATTTACTATACACTTATCGAAGGTTCACAACTGCTGTTAGACTTTTTCATTCAATCGTAAGTGATCATTGCATTCCTTGAGATTATTCTAATTTGTTTCATATCTTTCAATTACTGAACATATAAAAGTACCCATGAAAACTTACTTGAATTTGAATTGATTGTACACTGTTCGACCCAAATTTGTAGCCAATAGCTTCATCTACTTCAATTAATAACGATGGATCATATCGTTTTCGTCTAGAGCCGACAGAAATACCAGTATTCAGTTGCATTGTCACCGGGCCACTTTGTGTTGCAGCTAATAGGGTATCAAATTAGATAGCTTATAAACATAAATACATAATTGAGCGATTTACCTATGCTTCTTTCTGCAATCTTTGTTGGGACATAAAGAGGAATAAGGGAGAGAACAATAGTTGCAGCGATTGCAAATAAAACAAAAATTGCACAACAAGTAGCCAAAGCACCTGAAAGTCCAACATTCGCATTACTGGCGGGACTAGTTCAAGCATGGAATTCAAAGAAAAAATATATCTATAGGTATTTTTACCGAACAACTTGTTGGCCGAGTTTACGCACTGCTAACATGCTGCTGATTAGATTAAAATAATTTACATAGTTTTTTTTATATGGTTGTTCTAATTATAACGTAATTCAAAGTAAAACAAATGAAGCAGAACGCAAATACGCTATGGCGTTTTTCTGTTACTTTATTTAATGCTGATACTGACGAAATACACATGGAGAAATGCGCACTTTCATTCTTTCATTGAATGACGCAAAATAATCCTATACAATAAAAAAAACCGTACTTGAATGATAACGTTGCACTAACCTACGATTGCTATTCTATCGCTCAATTACCGAAGGTAGGTTTTGCGTTTGGATAGTTAGCATGCATGATATGAAATATAAAAAAAAAACAGCAAACGCGAAGTTTACCCAATTAGACAATAAAAAAGCGTGCGGTAGGTGCGACGAGTGCTCGAATTTATGAAATATACCCTTTTCGTTCGTTTTGTTTCGATTTCGAACTCATCGGCAGCCATCGTATTTCGAGCACTAAAAATTTTCTTATCGGAAGAATCGTATAGAGCAATTGGATAGAAAAAAATCCTCGAAAATGATAGTTTCAAGTGATAATTTCTTTTTTCTGTGACAGTCATTCAGAAACGATCTATAAATACCTCATTTATTCAGCTAGATTAAAAGAATGATATCCGTTGAACACATAATTTGCTTCATTTCATATGTTTCCAAGAGGCCTTTGATATTAAACGATAAAAATGATAAGCAAGATCGGTAAAGTATCGGAGATGCAAAATTAGAGTGAAATATTGTTTTCGCTCATATCTATATGGTTTGATAGAGCTTGAAAAGTTGATCACTAATACATACGTTTTATTTCGATTGAATCATTGTTTGGCTGAGAAAATCGTAAAATAATAAAAGGACTAGAAAACACCGTTATTTTTACCATGGCTTTTTTTCTACAGAAATTGTCAAATTTTATTTTTAGTTATTTTGTGAATTTAGTGAGAGTACTGTATTCGGAATCACCATGAAAAGTTAAACACAAAAATGTTATCGAGTATAAATAGGTCACAAGCAGGCTAAAAGTATGTGTCAGTGAGTACTCTTGTAGACCGATCTAGTTTTTTTGTCTTTTTTTAGATTTTGCTATATTGTCGAGAAAATTAAAATTCTTTCCTGTTCGGTAGTAACATGAGTGGTAAACAAGAAAAATGCGTTTTTATTTAACATTTTTCATTATAATAATCAGGTCCAAAAGCAAAAAACAGTATCATATTGAGAATCAGTGTCAAAAGTGACATTAAACTATACACTTTTTATGGAATTAATGTTTTTTCGAAAAGACAGCCGGCGGTGGACCAGGGGTAAAAATTTTAGAAAAATCAACCTGAAGAAGGGCACAGTTCTATTTTACTTAGGAAATAAATTTTGCTAAAATGTGTATGGCTCGATGTCATTTTTGACACTGATTCTCAATATGATACTTTTTTTTGCTTTTGGACCTGATTATTATAATGAAAAATGTTAAATAAAAACGCATTTTTCTTGTCTACCATTCATGTTACTACTGAACAGGAAAGAATTTTAATTTTCTCGACAATATAGCAAAATCTAAAAAAAGACAAAAAAACTAGATCGGTCTACAAGAGTACTCACTGACACATACTTTTAGCCTGCTTGTGACCTATTTATACTCGATAACATTTTTGTGTTTAACTTTTCATGGTGATTCCGAATACAGTACTCTCACTAAATTCACAAAATAACTAAAAATAAAATTTGACAATTTCTGTAGAAAAAAAGCCATGGTAAAAATAACGGTGTTTTCTAGTCCTTTTATTATTTTACGATTTTCTCAGCCAAACAATGATTCAATCGAAATAAAACGTATGTATTAGTGATCAACTTTTCAAGCTCTATCAAACCATATAGATATGAGCGAAAACAATATTTCACTCTAATTTTGCATCTCCGATAGCTTACTCATTTTTACCATCTCACCAATAATTGTTCTTTATATCGGTATGATATAAGACAGTACAATCACTTCCTGTTGCAAAATATACTTTTTTTTATCTCGTACCTGCGTTGTTACACATTATCTGATTCAGATTTAAGATTCGTTTTAATTTCACTGCCGGTTGAATTAAAGAGAAGTTTGAATAAATGAATAGTAATTGAGATACTATATATTGATTTTAAACAATTAGATACAAAATATAAATATTTCCCGTGAACCGTACTAATGAATAAAGTCAAGGTACACCGAGCACTATCTTGAAAATTTCATTGTTTTATATGATCGATAGGATTAGCAATGAAATGAAATTGTAAGTTGATTCTGATCCAATCATGGAAACTAAAGAACATCTATGATAAATCTATTACAATGATATGTGCATATAGTAATTCTTTTTTTAATGTAATGGCCTAAATCGAAATTTTAAGGTTTTCATTTGACATAGTACGTAAATTCAAGTCTACAACTATTCCGTGCACCATCACCACTTTTTAAAAGAAACATTTCAAAACAATAACTAAAAGGACGATTCAGCTGATTTCGTTTATGCAATAGTCGATGAAATTCTTATACTACCGTTATAGGTATTTCACATTCAATCACTGCCACACCATACCTATGCTTCATTAGTCCGTAAGCAATCGAATTTCATTTTATCCAATCTCCTAGTAAATGCGGTGTTGCCCTTGAAAACTTTTCCACTCTTTCATTCTTAATTTACTATTCCTATATGCTCGATTGCAAGATGTGCTCAAATATTAAAAAACCTGACATTCGCATATGGCCTAATGAGAAATGGCCGCTTCGTTTATTCACACGTAGCCCTCAATTTTTAATTGTTTTAATGTAATTGTACCTTTGTCATTACTGGAATTAATGTTTCTCTAACCACTTGCTATTATCAACTTGAAGCATCAGCCCTATCGAGAATAAATCAAATCTTTGTTTTATCAATTCATTGCAAATGTAATTAGAGTAGAATGAAAAGACTTATCCTGAAGTCTTTTCTATTTCTCTTCATGATAGTTAACATAAAAAAGAATCCATTTGTATGAAAATCTTCTATGACAAGGAGGAAGTAAAATAATGATGGTTTTCTTCGTCTTGCAATTTTAACGTATATTATCTACAGCAAACATCAAGTGATGATTTCCCTTTCTTGAATTGTTGATTATCGCCGTTATTAAGGATGTAAAGCAATTGATCTTCTTCTACAATAGACATTTCTTCAGCTCTAATAACCATTAAGTCAAATTCTGCATGATGTAACTTCGTTGTAATTGTACTCCTATACCTTTTTTTTAATAGTAACAACAATATACACTTGATGTTTTCAATAATTTGTTCAGAATACAATAAATGAAGAGAAATCAGAATCTTTATTGTCACATATTCTTATAAAGCATTAACACGCGTCCCTTTTTCTAGTATAGTGTTGTGAAAACAGAATTACAAGGATTTGCTGTACTTTTCATGTCATCGCACTAGACTTTTCTTATAGGAATCAAAGTAAAATATAACAAATTTCGTTATTCATATGAATTTAATGCCATTAGGGTAATAAATTTATTGTTCAGGATGATAACATGATACTAACTATATTCATCATGAGGGTGTAGTACATTCATCAATAGAAAAAATAGTTCGTAATATATTTTATATTGAAATCAGTCAAAAATAGTTCGTTCATGCATCTGGTCTACTCATTCGATAAGTGGTCTTCATACCTAAAGTTTGATGTTGCATGGTACAAGTTGTTGCTTCCCTCGCGATATTCAGATTTCGACCTGTGACTCGTCGATACACATTATTAATTGTTACCATTAATTCTTTGCGAAAGATACGTGCTGACAGCGTATACACAAAAAATCCGAACGCATGAGAACCATAAGATAAGATACGTAAAATTCCTGCACATAAATTGTTTTGTGCTGTTTGTAGAGGAGTCTTAATCTTAGTTAGTGTCAATGTATCATTCAATTTTTGAATGGCAAATGGAACAGTAAAGACGATGATCAAGGCCACTTGCATGAGCAGCATTACCAACAATTGAGCATCACGTCGTGCAGTGCTCCTGTTCGGCAGTACCGCTTGAGGTAAAACTTGATTATGAGCTCGTCGAAGATTTCGAAGCGTAGCTAAACCAAACACTAACATCATTAGAGGTGGCCCTAAGGCATAAAAGGTAAGATATTGAAGATCAGAAAAATAACGATACGGTCCAGGCATTGCGTAGCATGTTATTGAAGTAGCAGTTTTTTGAACACCAAAATAAATCAGTACATTGCAAAATGACAAGAAACATACAGTAGTAGTTATGGCAATGACTATACGAGCAAATTTTACACTATTAAAACGTCGCTGCGCTTTTATGCTTGATGACCATCGATCAATACAAGCTAACAAGATAAACCATGTCGAAAGTGTACGGGGAACATAGGTAAAATAATATCTAATTCTACAAAATGTATTCGATTCAATACTCAGATCGATGTTGTATCCATCAGAAAAAATTCTTGTAGTAGCAACCCAATAAAGTACAACAAAGTTAGCCACTGTATTCCCCAAGAGATAGTGAGTACACGAATTGATGAAAAGACTTCGACGAGTAAATATTATAACATTTAAAATCACTCCAACCGTACCGAGAATGAGAAGTGGCCACGGAAGGTAGCGATTAAACTGCACATTCAAATCGTTCAGCCAAGCAATTGTCGTTGACGTTGTTGAAGACGACGACATAGTGTTTACACTCTAAATGATATTCTACCTAGTAGCTGATGTATTTATTTGAGACTATATTTCTCATTGTCTACCTCCTATTTTTTTTAAAATAATTATTCTTCAGCCGGTTGGTTATCATTTACCACAAATAGAAATCCACAGACACATCTATACATCATATCCACGCTTGTGGTGAATAAAACAAATATGACCCATTCTGGTGACCAAATAGGGATTTTTCAATTTAGGGATTTTTTTTATATACTATATGCTGTTCAAGTCACAACCGAACAGGGTCCCTGTTAGGGGTTCANAATCCCTAAATTGAAAAATCCATAAATCAAAAATACCTATTTGGTCACCAGAATGGGTTATATTTGTTTTATTCACTACAAGTGTGGATATGATGTATAGATGTGCCTGTGGATTTCTATTTGTGGTAAATGATAGTCATTCAATGTCAAATTATAGCTGAAAGCCATGTTATTAGAAAAGAGTGAATTTCCATTTTTTCATGCGTAAAAGAATATACTAATTTGATAGTCATTTTCTCTAACGAACAACTAGAAAAAAATATCACCTATAGAGCGACCAAACGAAGAATAGTCAAAATGTTGCAAGCTAATAAAAACTGATATTGGTTATCTATGAGACTTAACAAACGTCTCAACAAGTGTACGCAAATGTTACCGAAAACTATTGAATGCCTATCATTTACCCCAAAAATGGTTACCACAAATCAAATCCCCATTTGGCGTAATCAAATGAATAAAGTGAGGATATTGGCTTGTGGATTTTTTTAATTGACTAAACATAAGAAAAACAGTTTTACGATGAACCTGGTGGCCAGAATATATCTTGGTTTACCATGACGAAGAAGTTTTGGGTAAATCTGGTGACGAGAAAATTTTGTGGGTCGCCAAAAACTACACTTTAGAGTAACCCAAGATAGATTCTCGTCACTAGATTCATCGTAAAACTGTTTTTATTGCGCTTAGTGAATTCAAAAAAAATCACTAAATCAATATTCCCATTTTACTCATTTGATGACCCTAAATGGGGATTTTATTTCGGGATTCATTCGTGGTAACCAGTTTTGGGGTAAATGATAACCTACCAAACTATCATAGTTTTTTGGTTGCTTCAGCTCTTTATTTCTATAGGACGAACAAGTGTAACTTTTTGTATACAATGACAAGAGGTATCTCATATCTCTTTTTTCCAGAACCAGAAAATGTTTCAGCAAGTTCGAGGCTGTTTTTTCCTATATAGATAATATGATTGTCGCTTCCCACTGCTAATGACGATAGAAAAAAAATTCAATTCGATGAGCAAATGTGCTTAACGCATTGAATTTCCTGTGAAATTCTTGTATCCTGCGGCTAAATTATTCATCGCCTGTACTGTAATTTTTCTAATTAGGTTGATTCTCAGCAAGCTAAAAATTTTCTATCACAAAACAAGAAAGAGATCTATTGATAGTGGATGAGATGAAAAAACTTTCATTGGCTAAAGGAAGTATAACTCCTCATCATAGAATATATTGCTGTCCAGGCAATACTCTCTAATTTTAGACTCATCAAAGACGGGTCTTCTTTGAAGCATTCGTTTTACTATTACGAATCGAGAACAAACAATTGTATCGCATCTAGATTCATATATTCGTGATCTAACGATAAAATATTGCTCATACTAATATAAATAATAGTGATTTACATTTATTTGAGAAGTAGAAGATGAATTTTTAAAGGCGCTTTGATCTTTTCAATCAACGTATGAGACAAAAGTAGTTTCTGTGTTGCGATAAAAACAGATGCGCAAACAGACAAAAAAAAAGGTTTAGATGTCTTGAAATGAATTAAAATCCGATATCGATCATTTACAATTGAGATGCAGCAGAGTTGAGTAATTCGAAAGAATTTTAAACTAATTTTAACTACTTTTCAAACCATTCAGTTTGATACAAATGACATTGGAGCTAAGATAAAAAGCTTTTTGCTTAACTTAACTACTATTTTGCTTTAGTATCATGACTTAGAGATTTAATTTGAACAGCAACTGTAATGGGATTCATTACTGAAGTTCTGCTTCATTTAGATTTATTAGCAATAAAATCGGATGGTTTTGGTCGATGTTGAATATGTAATAGAAAATTCAGGATGTAAGTGAGTTCTCACTCTCAATGAGACAGAGAGAAAAATAGTTAAATATTTCTCTTTGCGTTCTGTGTATGTGTCATGATGAGTGATTCATCTGAATAATTAACAAATAAGAAATTCCATAAATGGTACTTGTATATAAGAAAACGAACGCATTTATAAAAAACAATTTTAGCCTTATTTAAAACAGAGTGACCTATTGCGCCGGCTGAAATACAAAAACTAAAACTAAAATCCGATGAGTTTAAATGTTACTTTATTAAGTGAAAAAAATGGTAGTACTGAAGAGAAATATGGCGTAACAAATGTCCGCCATGCTATTAAAAGTGGCGATAAAAACCTTATCCTTGCTAATATTCAACAAGGACTTGATATAAACTATCGACATAGTATCGATGGTGTAACCATATTTATTTGTGCTTGCAATACGGAAAACATTGCAATTGTTCGGTTGCTTCTTCAACCACCAGAACTCCTAATCACATTCGATTCTATTAAAAAAGGACCAAGACATGCTGAAGTGAATATTTTAAAAAAGAACTTTTTGATCGTTATAATGTCCAAGGCAATTCGTTATCGAATCTTTTGAATTTTTTCTCAAAACAACCTAAATCACTTCATCTATTTCAATATGTACTGGGCTACAAGACAAATCTTACTAGTCTCACGAACGATGTTTTTCTATCAGTCTGTCAAGGTCAAAATAATATCGATACAATTGATTGGTTATTGAATAAAAGCGATGGATTTAAATCAAAAACCAATATATGCGCTGATTCAAACGGCGTAGCATGGCTGATGTACGTCGTATCCAATCAATCATACTCAGGTGTGAAGTTACTATTAGAAAATGAAGCTGATCCACACATCAAATATCATCATGATCATGATGCTATTTATTGCACTGAAGCGAGTTATGATGATGGCACTGATTACATGCGTGTTACAGATCTGCCTGAAATCGTCGTCAGCATTATTGAAATTCTTTCGAAATGTAGATCGTTTTAGTATCGAATAATGTTTCTATGTTTTTGTTGTTGTCATGTTTTGTTCATTTTTTAATTACGATGAAACCTTATTGAAGGATATGAATTTTTTGTTTTTCGGTCAAATTGAATATTGTTTAACTTCTATTCTCATTGCTCTATTTTATTACTAGATCGGTTTTTTTGCATAATCCAATTTTTTTTTATATTATGCTCGTGAATGTGACACTCGGAAGTGCTTACATAATAGAAGAGAAAATTATAGATGTATAAGCGAAAAGTTGCATCCTTAAAGCAAAGCGTTACAATTTGTGCCAACAATATGCTATACTGATTACAAATTTTTGCACGTGGGGATATATAGAGAGTAAATAAATGATAAAACGAATAAACCAAGAATAAAAAGAAAAGAAAGGAACAAGATAGATTAAGAAGTACTGATGCTAAGCAGCAGCTGTGAGACGTGAGTAGAGCGAGCAACTAGAAATGAACGCAGAACAGACTACTAGAAGCGAGCGAAAGAGAGTACATGAAGTGATAAGAAAGAGAACAGAAAACAGAAACGAAAATGAATCACTAAAAAACGAAAAAGAAAATTGAGTAAGCATTACATTTATGCGTCTTTCTGTGATATTAATTCGCATCAACAAAGGACAACCATTTTAAAAGGAACGACTCATGTCGATCTTTCAATTGCCGCACACGACGTGAGCAAAAAAAATGACCAAGCCGATCGTTTTTCCTTTTACAAAAGTTATCCCAATCAAAAATATCTTCATAGAATAATGAAGAACCAAGGTCAGTTGTGAACATCGTTTTCAGTCTTCTTTGAATATATTTTTTAATGTAAAATTCTAAAGGCTGTTCAGAGGTAACATTGAACAGATTATGCGCAGAAACGAAGAAGCAGCGATGCACCAGCCGAAGTCCCACACGGAATTTTTGTTGCAATATATTTTGTTGGGATTCTGCGAGGAGTGGGAACAGTGGAAATAACCAAGCGAAATGAGGAAATGTGTATGCGAAAAACCATTGCCTGAGGGCTTTACATGACATTTCTCGACCAGATTTCATCCATTTCAATTTTCCTAACGATCTCTGAATATTTCCAATACTTTTTTCGACTGTCGGTTTCAACGAAAGTTTACCCGCCCACGTAAACCCTAAATATTTGAATTCTTTGACTAATTCGATTTTATTTCCGTCTATTGTTACGTTTACTATTGGTCTTTTTACTTGTGTATGAAACAATTGTACTACAGTTTTAGAAACATTTAACGGTTGTTTCCACTTTTTTGAGTACGTAAAAACCTGATTACAAATTCGTGTACCTTCTTTTTCTAAGTATTCAATCATCGGGCCTAAATTTTTCATTATGGGTGGTCGAATTAATACACAAAGATCATCCGCAAATAGATGACACGAATGAGCTCCCAGATAATTTGTCAGATCTGAGTGAAACACTATAAATAGATACGGACTAAGACTACTACCCTGCGGAAGTCCTATATTTATATTAAATATTTTCGAAGATATTTCACCATATTCTACGTACGCTCTTCTATCTTTTAACCAACTACCAGTCATTTTCAATAAGTTGCGAGGCATTCCCATTCTTTCTAGTTTACACAAAAGAGCGGCATGCCAAACACGATCATAAGCCTTTTGGTAATCGACATAAAGCGCCAGTGTCGGAATATTAGCTGCCATGTTATTTTTGACTTCCTGATATATTGAAAGAACGCGAGTAGGTAGAAGACATTTAGGACGGAAACCCGATTGCTCTAAAGGTACTAAACGATTTGTTTCAGCCCAGTGTCTAATTCTTAGTAGGAGCACTTTTTCGAATAGCTTAGAATGCGTAGCTAACAAGGATATCGGACGAGTTTGTTCACACTTGGGGATACCTGATTTCAACTGATTTAAAGTGATGATTTTCGCAATTTTCCAGTCTTCTGGATAACGACACTCGTTTAACCATGTATTAAAGCAGTTAGCTAGGCACTCGATGTAACTTGGAGGAAGTTTTTTAATTATAAAGTTTGCCACCAAATCAAAACCTGCTGACTTCTTAGGCTTTAATGTTTTAATTAATTGTGTAATTTCCCAAGTACTAGTTTTTTCGACTTTATCTCTCGATATTGCTAATTTATTTAACAACTCTTTATATTCACTGTCTATCTGCACTGCATGTTCATTAGAACAATCCAGCGCAGATGCTTTAAACTGTTCACTGTAATACTGATATAGTTCGTTTGTGATTTCTTGTTGTGTTGATATTATTTTAGTGCCATCCGATAGTTTATAGAAGGGCAGCGTACGCGATTTATAAATGCGAGATAAATGAGTCCAAAACGCTTTATCTGATTTATCGTACGACGTTTCAATATTAGCTAAAAAATTTTGCCATTGAGCAGTTTTGTATTTAGCAATATCAACTCTTGATTCTCTCGTCAGGGTGCGTAATAGCACCCAAGTTTCCTCACTAAAAACTCCTTCATGTTTTAAATGATAATATCTGTTTCTCACTTTGCGTATTTCTTTTAACTTTTCGATGATGTCAGCTGGTAATGATGGTTTATATTTATCTCTCTCTTTCCAATGAGTCACTCTATTTTTGACAGCCGCGATGAAACGAATACATTGTTTATGCCACTCATCAGCACTATTTTTCTTTTGTTCTTCCATCCAGAATGTTTGTAATAGTGTTATTACTGCTTCAAATGCCTTCCAATTTGTATGAGGAAAAAAACTATTTGTATCGAAAAAAATGTTCTCGCACGATAATACAATCGGCCAATGATCACTAGTGCCAAAAAACAATGTTTCGCTTGAAATAGTACTCATATTAGAGAACGACAAATCTATATTACGTAGAGAGCGCTTAGATGAATTTGACGTTGATGGAATATAATTGAGATTACTTTCATTAATCCATTCTTTCACGTGCGCGCCTCTTTTATCAGTTACTGGACTATTCCATTCCTTGACTGTTGCATTAAAGTCACCTGATAGTATGGTACCTTCTACTACATAAGACAGAATTTCATCTAGATCACGCTGTTGACTAGTGGGCCAGTAAATACCAATGATACGTACTGGTTCTGATAGACCTGCTATATCAATCACAACTGTGTTCGGAATGTTAACCTCGATGCGCGTCGCTTTCAGATGCTTCCCCACTGCTATACACACTCCTCCATTTTTGTTAGTACCCTTTTGATAGAACGTGTTAAAATGTGGTGATCGACACGTGTTCCATAACTCTCCCACTTCTGTAAAAATACAAATAGAAGCTTGAATGTTATACATTAAATCAATGGCTTCAAGTGCACGAGTGCCCCAACCTTCGACATTATAGCATGAAATCTTTATATATTCTTTTTGAATTTTGAAAGGAGCTGTTCCAACATTTTCTCACTGTTCCACAACTGTATTCAAGGTTCTACCTGTGTACCATTCATCTAGCAGAGATAATACTAATTTCTGATCTTTCGGTGAAAAATTCCAAAATTCTAGCTGGTGCATGGCTTCATCTCTAGGACTGTACAAATAATTTTCTGAAGCAGGAAAAAATACTTTAGCGTTTACATTAAGATTTGACGATCTACTTTGCATTTTCTGTTGAATTGTATTTTGACGCAGATTGTTGACCAGTTTGAACGGTGCTAGAATGAAGTGACGTTGACATCAGCTGAACTTGGTGATTTAATTGATTTAATTGGTAACCATTTATTAATCTTGAGGACGCGACATGAAGGCGGTTATAGTATTCGTTTGCGACCTGTACCAACGATGATCTTTCATTTTTACTAGCAGTTAACGATGCTGGTATAACATATTGCATGAAGTCTTTCATAATGTTGATAGTATCTGCTAAGACTGCTTTATGTAGCTGGGTATCAAGAGTAACCGTTTTCATACTTGATGATAATAGATCAACTTTATTTTCAAGTCGTTTGTTACTATCGATTATCTTTGCTAGATTATCATTGATGGAATCAATTGTTTTATCAGTATATGATGCTCGTAGCTTATTCGACTCAACAGTTGTACGTGGTAGCGCTGTATTCCATTTTCCATTAGAATCATTATCACTTGCTGTTAATGGTGGGAAGTCTTTGCTCTCTACGTTCGAATGACGGTGATTTCTCTTGCGGTGAAAATCTCTGTAATAATCCTTTTTGTATGGCATCTTCGACATCTTCTTTTAATTGATCTTTATATTCTTTTAACACTTGACATTGACTATCCAAAGAATGATGCTTTCCATCACATTGAGCACATTTCGGTTCATTATTGCACATATGCGGAGTATCGATATTCAGATTCTCAAGACAAATACGACATTTGCTTTCTGCGTTGCATGTGTTTCTTAAATGACCAATACGCCAACAACGTGTGCAATAAGTTAAACGGTTTCCAGGATAGAACTTGGTGATCGATAACCACGAATGGCCTATTGCTATTCGACCCAGTTGCAACACTGCATTATATTCACTATAATCTTTCACATCGAAGCGATGATCATCTGTTCTTCTTTGGTAGGAATAATGAATACGTTTAATTCGATCTGCGGATGCAATTGTTCGCTGTATTTCATTTGAAACAAAATTTTCTTCTAAATCCCGAGGAACATATCGAACGACAAGAGCAAAAGAATCAGGTATATATTTTGGTTTTACTACGACAATATCAATACCATTAATCTTTGTTGGCCAATTATCCGTACTGACGAGAATAGCATAATCTTCTTTATTATTAACACCTAACTTTAGCTTTTTCCCTGACCAACCAACTAATGTAAATCTATTGATTAAAACACCCTTCGATTGAAGTTCTTTAAATATAAGATCACTTGCATGAATAGCTGTTGGAATACTATTACGATCAGCATTCGAGGTAAATTCAATAAAAAAACATGGTAGATTAGAAGATACCGCGTGCTTCAGTTGATTAAGGGAAATTCGTTTACGATTTGTTGTAGTAGCTTGATTTATCTCTTGATACTGTCTTTCATCTGACAGCATTGGAGATGATGATTGTTGTGGCTCTTTACGAGGATATTTGCGATGCTCTCTTCCATTGTTGATCGAGCCTCCACTTTCATCTAATGGACGGTCACGTTTAGGTGTGGAATTTACTGGTTGTACAAATTGTTGTTGCTGATTTGACTTGGCATAATTTTTCTGAAGGTATTTATGAACACTTGAAGCTGCTTCTGGACATTCTAATAAGAACCTTGATATACGATCAACTTGAACATTTGATGAACCTTGTTCCAGTATCTCACAATCGTTTCCGAAAGGATGATGATCATTTTTAGGATAATTATTAATTGCCTTTGCCATCTTTTCTCTTTTATCGCCTTAGAGAGGCAGATGCGTAAGGAATGTAACGATATCAAAAAGAAAAAATGCGACTATTCTTCACGAAGCAAAAAGAAGGAGACATAATCCAATTCAATTTCTGGTTGAATGCTTGAATTTACTAGAATAGTTTTGATGATTTAATCTTACTAATAACATTTACTTAGACATTAATTTTTATTCAAATTTTTAGTTCATCATTAAATACCTATGGTTGCTCATCATTTGTTGTAGAGATACTTGCCATTGTATGCATTCGTCAAATATGAATCTTCTGTATAGTATGTAGACTCTTCTCGTTCATATTTCATATTTGAATTCATTATTTAGCGGTATTTTTATTTTTAGAACTTGATTTGTTAGTAAGTTTGTGAATGTATAACAGACACACGAAACATCTACATGATGTGAATGTCTCATATTAAAATTATCGAAAGACTTCCAATCGTATCCATATTTGCTAATAGAATTTCACTTTCCTTTCTTCAAACAAATTTTTCTCGATAATCTCCATAGTTACACATATATACTGATGAAAATAAAAATAAAATTGATATCTTGTAGAAAGAAAAAAATAAAGCTTTAAGCTTGAGTAATTAGTTATACGCAATGCATTTGTCAATAAAGGAAAACATTCGTTTCGTTCTTTACCTAAAGCAACAATGAATAATAAACTCAACATTCATATTGACTCAAACACTACTTCACATATATGTCAATACTACAGACTTCAAAGTATTGTATTACTATTCTTATCGGTAAAACAGTGCTCTTTGTATTCATGGGAGAAGAAATTTAATGAAGAAACACTACGATGTCTATGGTATAGGTGCTGCGCTTGTAGATACGGAGACTCATGTAACCGATGCCGACCTATCGGCATGGGGAATCGAAAAAGGTATGATGTTACTACTAGATGAAGCACGTCGAAAAAAGCTGCTTGATTTTCTTACCGATCATCTGGTATGCTCAAAACGAACCAGTGGCGGGTCTACAGCTAACACAATTACTGCTATTGCACAATTTGGTGGTAAAACATTTTATACTTGTAAAGTTGGAGACGATGATAATGGTCGATTTTACTTGAACGATTTATCCACAGCAGGTGTTGACTATCAAAATGATAATCGCCACAATGATGGTGTCACTGGTACTTGTTTGGTAATGATCACTCCTGATGCTGAACGAACATTAAACTCGTTTCTAGGCATTAATGCAACATTATCAGAACATGATATTATACCAGACGCTATTATTAATTCTGATTATGTTTATTTAGAAGCATACATGGTGCTATCTCCTAGTAGTCGTGCCGCTGCCATTCGTATACGTGAAATTGCGGAAGAAAGTACAGTAAAAGTTGCAGTGAGTCTGTCGGATTCAGGCGTCGTCTCAGATTTTCGTGATGATCTACATGAAATGTTAGGCAAACATGTCGATTTATTATTTTCCAATCGGATAGAAGCATTAAGTTGGGCACAAACTGACAATTTAGATATTGCCATTGATAGTTTGAAAAATTTTGCTAGAACATTTGTTATTACACTCGGAGCTGAAGGATCACTAGTGTACGATGGTACGCAATTGCACACTATTCCACCCTACAAAGTACAAGCAGTGAACACTAGTGGTGCAGGTGATATGTTTGCTGGTGCATTTCTATTTGCTATTACACACGGAAAAGATTTTTCGGCAGCAGGAAAATTTGCAAGTTTCAGTGCAGCAGCTGTTGTTTCCGATTATGGATCACGTTTGAATGTAACAAAACAACAACAGATTTTGGCACAATGGGACAAAATTGAGAAAACTTTCTAATACTAATTAAAAGATACTTGTCTAGAGAGTTACTCAATGCGACTGAATATTTGATCCTTATTCTTTACATTAAAAGTTTTAATTGATTAAAATCGTTGTAGAGATTAAAGCACTATTTGTTTTTGTCTAAACTCGCCTATCTTACATCAATAATATGTTGCACTTGCAGATATTTCTATTGCTATGCGAATCTTTTGACGCAGTATTGATAGAAGCTAAATAATATGCAAATTATCAAGTAAACCAGTTACAAATAAACATTATTGAGTTCCTATCATTAGCATTTATGTCAACCTTTTTAAAAAGCTGAATTATCTTTTAGTGGATTATTCTGGTCAAGCTGGTCGCATTTATGTTATACGGCACAAACATATCATTATTCATGAACTATTCAAGATTAATTATCACTTGATATTAGAAAAAGCTTAAATGCTGAACTATTTTATTCGAAAATAAACCTGTAAAAAGCAGTCATAATCATTGTAGAAAGAATGCTTAATTTATATAAAATATTTTTATACTATATCTATTTATTTGTTAATACCTCTGCCCACTAATGAATAGAACTCTTTTCAACTAGGACAGCATGATGCATGCTAAATAAGGACCTCCATTGCCGTTGATCTTCAGATAAAATGCTATGAAGTAATAATTTCCAACTACAATGGGAAAGGATTGTCAAATATTCGTAGTTACCCGCCTTATTACACTTATCGATGTAGCAGTATGTTCCTGATTGACAAGAATTTGCCGTCAATTGACCACCCATGGGAAAAATTTCGTTACTTTTCAATGCTGCAAAACGCGTTAATGCTGGCCGGTTTAATGCGTTTCGCAGCTGCTGAATCGGTTAAAAACGTCGCGAGATGATATAATTTTTGTTTTATTCTGAAATAATGGCTCCCAAAAGCGTTTTGAGTAAATGGAAAAATTAGTCTTACGCCTGTGTTACCATAGGAAACGCTGCGAAACACGTTAAATCGGCCAGCATTAACGCGTTTCGCAGTGAATATATCTTAATTTTTTTATCCCATGGGCATAATTCGTCCCAGTTCCCCCACAATTAGCATCTGTTGCAAAATACTGCGTCCAACCAGTGAAATCAACGGTTTCAAATTGATCATTGACAAGAACATTTGCGTTATTAGCTGTATCATTTACCGATACAGTATCCAGTAGCCAAGAGTGGTGAACAGGTCCAGCATCGCCTGTCATAATAAATGATGGAGGTGCCGAGAAATTAGTAGCAGTAAATCCATATGAATAAAGTGTATAAGTAGTTGGGGCACTGGAAGAGCCAAATCAGACGTTTTATTGAAGAGTTATAAAGAGATCAAATTTCAAATCGTCACTCGACAAAGCGCGTATAAAGACCTTGTCTTCAAAAAGGTTTCTTATTTTATCTACAAATAAATTTGATAAAGAGCAGTTTTTTCTAATAATTTTGTGTCTTAAATGGTTGTCTTTCTTTCAGTATAGTCTCCGCATCCCTAGCTATTTCACTGACAGAACTGCAACCATCTTTCCGCCACTCTACACAAAAATAAGGGTGTGGGTGTGGGTGACTTTTTCTTAGCTTAGACGCAGCCAAACCCACACCCAACTGGATACTCTAAAATACTATTAAACAAATTCAAAGAAGTTAGAATGAGGTGGCCTTGTATTGAAGAAACATCATTTTCTCTAAAACTCTGGAGCGATTTCTCAGTGATCTAGGAACAAGTAGCTTCGGTCAACAAGTTATCGTATTTTACTTTTACCTTTATGTTTGCCAGATCCTTTTGCTTTTCTGTAACAAGAAAATAATAATACACAAACCACAGGAACAGTTGCGAGAAGGACACAGTTATCATGATAAGCAAACGAAAGCAACGCTTCTTTTTATTGGGTAGAAAAACGAGTATGTAAAGAACTGTGATAAAGAGCAAAGTATTTTAATTTTGTAGATCTTTGCGCAAAACATGCTCGCTGAATTTCTCACTCTATTTCAACTTTTTCTTCTCTGTTTAACAAGTTTACTCCTTCACATTGGTTCCTCTAATCCCAACGTGAGTTCTTCTGGTGACTATATTGCAAATGAAGGTATTGGTACATCATTTCTAGTGTTGGTTGCACCGAAAATCGGTCAATTTCAAATATGGGCTTCAACATTATACCAAGCATTATATTTATTCCTTCGAGTTTTTCTGCCAGCGTTCATTTCAACATTTTTCCCACAAATATCAACGTCCACGGATCCTTTACCGTTTAATTCGGTGTCAATGATTGGATTTACCTTTATGATTGTGGGTGGTTTTGGAAGAATATGGTGTTATAGAACATTAGGAGCATTTTTCACCTTTGAATTAATCATTCGAAATAAACATAAATTAATCAAGACTGGTCCATATGCTTATGTACGACATCCATCGTACACGTTTTTGCTTGTTTTATTATGGGGATTCTTACTAGTTCATCGACGACTAACAAACTTGTTTCCTAATCAAGCATGGATACAGGCTCCGCTTAGTCCACTTGGAATTTCAATAATCTTATTCTCCGTAATATTGGTTCTTACAAGACGTGTCATAATGGAAGAAAAGGAATTAGCAACGAAATTTGGTAGTGAATGGACTCAATATGTATCGAAGACGAAAAGATTTATACCGAAAATTATCTAATTCATAAATAATTCCAGTTTTGACAAAATTCCTAACCTCTCTTGGACTTTATTCATATTTCAAATTTTTACTTTCCAACTTTGAATGCTTGCACGCAGTGATAAATAGTAATTGTAGATAAGAACAAATTGATATCTATGCAACGCAATAGAACACAATTATATATAAGACACCATCATTACCATACACTCTTTTTTGTTTGAGTCATACAAATATATATTTCGAAAATCTGATTCCTGAGATACTACTATGTCAAGGATTACTTATGAAATCTCAATTGTAGTGGTTTTCATAATTAGGAATTGAGAATCATCACCATTGACATTTGGCAAGTGTCCTTTGATATTATCTCATCCTAGAATCACGTCTTTGAATGATGGATTACACTGAATCTAAACTGCACATGGAATTGAGGCAGAATTTGTCTAAGATAATGATAGTGCTTCATGATTAATTTTGTTTTTAAACTTGAATTCATGTTGAGTTGTTGTTTCAGAATAGTATTTGTCACTGTGCCGCGGGTGTAGGTTAATGAGCAAAAGACCTACATCCACATCTGCACACCCAATGGTGAATTTCAATATTCTTCTAGTACTCAAGTCAAAAAGTCAAAAAGTCTTTGTTGAAATAAAAAAGGATACCAGTGGTAAGAGTTTCGAAAGAAAGGAAAGTGATTAGTGTTGTAGCTTTTTCGATTGACATCCTTTCTATTGATGGAATAACGATTTAACCGTCATACATTTCTTAGTGAGTCTTTCTCTTCGTTCTTATTTTCATTTTACAGTTCACATTCAAATTATTGCCAAGTAAAGATTAGACAAGAATTTTATTAGAACCTCATGCACAAATTATATGAAAATGAAAGTATTTTATCATATCTGTAATTCGTAAGAATCTTAATATGCATGACATATTACCAAGGGGGGGGGGGAGCGGATCCCGTCCGTTCGCGATACGTTCGGGATACAGAGGATACGGTGGGGATACAGCGGCAATCCGAAGGATACGGTTTGCAATTCAGAGGATATGTACAACAATATGCAAATACAATTTGATTTAATGAAGAAAATACGAAATTCACATCATTTATCAATAGAGATGAATATTGGCTTAGCTCTATGAATGATTTATATCAATGTCAATATTTTTAAAGAATTTCTTTACCCAATCTTTGGTTAAAGAAACTGTCTGATGCTCTGTAATCGATTTAAATTTTAAAAAACTAAAGCTATTTAAGTAGTGTGATGTTTCATTCTTTATGTTCTAACGCGTTCAATCATATGTATTCAATACAGACGGACGAGTTGAATGTTAGAGAACGAGAAAAATAACAATTTCTATCTATCTTTCTCATGAACAATTTTTTCGTTATATATCATCCTATCAAACTATTGTTACATCGTATTTCTATTTTTTTTCGACCATGCCACCAACAACATTGAACATGGACATTACAGTCCTTCCTCCAGACGTATTATCACTATATGATAAATCTTTCTATGAATTAGTTCGTAAACTGGCTGCTCCCACAGAAGCCGACTTACTTGAACTACAAGGAATTCGTAGTGCTTATTCATTGATTCATACTGAGGACATATTTAATATATTGAAGTATGAATGCAAAGCATTAGATCAAATTTTTAAAAAGGTTTGCCTTCAATTGGATGATAATCGATACATCATCAAACCTGGCTGTAAAAGTAATTTACGTTATTTCACTCAATTGCTCAATGTTAAAAATCAAGAGTACTTGAAAACAATTGCACTTCGAATTAAACCAAAACAAACGTCAAACGATGATGATAATAATAGTAACAATAATACATTAGCATCTTAATCATCAGCACAACTTCTACCTACCTCTTCGCCATTATCACCAACTACGGCAACAGGAACAAAAGGTTTGTATATGCAAATATTTGGTAATTACAATAATTTATTCAATTTTAGTTACATATATTTTGAAGAGTTACTTTGTTTTTAGAATATTTTAGAAGAGAGTATTGAGTACAGTCTTGATTTTTACTTTATAGTACAACAGGCACAACACATGTCTGAACCTATCAGTATTCACAAACGTACGATAGGAATCCTAATTCAACCTTCATATCTTTGATTAACACTTTCACGTAGCCGAGTGTACTTAAGCTCTTCAACAGAGAACGTATGCGATTAGCAATTGAAATGCAGAATATGATTAACAGTGCAATCAATGGGAAAAACATTCATTGAGGTATTCTTTGATATTCCAATCCATGCCAATCAATTCCTAGCCGTTCAAATGGCTAGGAATGAGTTTTTCATTTGATTGCAACAGTTGGTGATAGATTTCCATTTTGTCCAATCAGAAGGAAATTCTGGCGGTTATATACGTATATATACTTTAGCGCTAATCTGCTGAAATAGTTTAAAGAGTATTTAATTCGTTAAATAGTTGCTTTCTTCAAAAACAAAAGTCAGTTTTTCCATCCAAATTTTGATTTCAATAAAAAAAATTTCCTGTAGCTATGAATTTAAAGAAAAATGAAACCACCAACCCTAACTTCGGATTGTTTTACATTACTCTGTTGCTCAGCTTTCCTTCTTCCTTGTATTGTATGTAAGAACAAATATGTGCCGAAAATATCTAAAGACAATGATATCTTCTATTAGGGGTGTCACATTTTATTTAAAAAAATATTCAATCGAGGAATAAATTTTCAAAAATTTTAATTTAATTAAATATTAAATTTTGTATCGTTTAAACTTAACTAAATTTAAATTAAATTGTTTGAAATTCAAATTAGTTAAATTTTCAAGACTAGTAGATAAACATCGATTTTGACTTGATTGTTACTATTTAAAGTCAAATTTGAGTATGTTTCCTGTTTTCTAAAGTTAAAGCTAGTCATTCTTCTACGAATTGTACTATTAAATATATTTTTATGAGTATCCCGGCATTTTGAAGAAGAAAGATGACGGATCCTGCATAATCTGTAGAGAAATTTTGACTGTTATGAATAAATATTAACCTAAAATACTATGTTCTTCTCTAATTTAGCATTTCCTACTGTTAAAGTCACGTATTTTCCTCATAACAATGATATGTATCCATGCAAACAATTTATGAAACTTTTAATTAAAATTAAATAAACTGTAAATTGACACCCCTATCTTCTATTGATATTAATTAGGCAGTCGTACACACACACTTAATGTGCATGCTTCAAATATTTCCTTTTACTCATAGAGCAACTTTTATAAACACTCAATCAAATATAGTTGAACAAGAGCAAGGACATTACATACAGACACACGTGCCACCCTCAGTAAATCCTTTGCCATAGCAATACACATCATTACATTGTAAACACAGGACATGGCAGACAAGGAAGTCAATCATTTATGAGTACATATCGTAAAAAGGCAAAGAAAGAGAAGATGCATTTGTGTTGAAGAGAAAATAGTTACTTTATTCGCAAATATTTTCTTCTAAAAAATCTCAAAGATGCTTGAGTTTTGTTGATCTTCTAAGGAAAAGTTATTCATTACTCGGTTGAAATCAATTCTTTCGTCGTATAAATCAACAAAAATAGAATCTCCTTTAATGAAGGCTATTGTAATCTTCGAATTGGCGAGGACTTCAAGCATGTTAGTTTACGCACGCTCAACGATGATCAGAATGGAAATTCTGCATATATGATGTCACAAAGGTGGCTAGGTTTATACCGTAAAAAACAGGTTGCGTTTGAGTTTTCCCACCTCATCAGACTAAACGTGAAAACGGACAAACAAGAACTGTGATGTACTATTTTTATTGAATGATAATCATTTTCCTTCCTTTTTTCTACCTTATTAAATAAATCGTGAAAGTGCACAAACAGAAAACATAACTAAGCTTTGCAACGCTTCTAATTTTGGACATTTTGCTTACAAATTCTTATCAAGTTTAACTTAGATACTAATCAAGATTACAGATCATGCTAAACATAGGTCGGCCCCTCCCTCCCCACTCGTAGAATAGAAGCTAATTCTCATTAAAAGATCCCCTAGAAAAAATATTTCACATAGCGCACTAGAAGGGCATGAGTTTTTATTCTTGGAAGGTGGAGGAGGTTTATAGGATTCTAAATATTTTTTTAAACTGAATAAAATATCAGAAGCTCAGTATTTCCGAATTCATTGGAGTATAATTGTGTTTTTCTTGAACGATTCTGGTGTAGAGGTTTTTGTTCAAATTATGACTAGGACTTTCATCAATATCTTATAAAGAAGATTCGAACATTCTAACTAAAATTGAACGATGAATGTTGTTAAGCGACTGTAGCAAAATAGTACACTGTATTTACTCTATATCCACAAGTAGGTTTTCGCTAAAAAGATTTGCTCAATAAGACTTCAATGCACGGAACTCCTTGTTATTTATAAAATTTGTCAACAATAGTAGTAAAATAGACACAGTGCTCGCACATCAACCTTTGGAGTACTAGTTGATTTTTACCACCGACTCACGATGATGGCTGCAGGCATCATAAACATTCGTCAAAAGTCATACGTTAATCGTAAACGACCATAAATTCGATCTTAGGGTTTGACGACTATTTATGATAGCAAGATATACGTTCGTGATATAGCTCGCAGATAAACAACGTCCAGATTGTCGTGATTCGTCAAAAACGTCAGTTTTCGACCATTCTTACTCGCCATGCGAATATGATCATCACAGTGTTTGAAATATTCATAGCGATTTTCTCTTTTTACACAGTAATCAACATGATATCATGACTGAACGCTTCTGGTGATATACTGTGCTGAACATGGAAAAATCTGGTTTTATTATCTTTTCTTCGTTAAGGTTGAAATTGAGCCTAACTGAGAGATGGAGTACATAGAATTTATTAGGGTTTCGATAAGTATGTGGGTGGGTAGATGTGAATGCAATGAATGCCCATACTCTATGTGAATAAAATTAGTAAAGAATATTTTACGTCAGAATACAATAGGTATGCTATTACCAATTATAGTGTCATCGGGTGAATGTGAACAAAAAATTAATAAATTTTTCATAGAACAGATACAGGGAAGTCGCTTTGGAAGATAGCGCAAAAACTTTTTCGTAAATAGTGTATTGATAATTATTAACAAGTTTAATCAAGCGCTCAACACTCCTTATAACTGAAAATAAATAGAATACTTATAGCTACCAAAAACGGTCATCTCTTTAACAAACCAAAAAGTCATAGATAGTACGAAGTGTATGAGAATGAAAGACCTTTTTTTATGATATTGAGCAAAATCTGTCTTTCTCTTTTTGTACTTCTAGTAATAATATCAATAATGGATTTAATTTTGATTCCGACGGATCAATGCAACCAATCAATTCACCAATCTTTGATTCGCTCAAGCGCATCAAATAGTTCTTCACTCTTTCACGATGTTTGCGCTCAGGCTCATCTACCATACATTTCATAAAACGATGATTGATCTGTAAATCAAAGAAATACTCAGGTATCGCAAATTTGTTCATACGCTGAAATTCTGCCGGCTGCTCTTCTGATGTTTGCAAATCTGGCGAAAGTTGCGACGCATAATGAATATTTTTGAATTCTAATAATAGCTTTTTGATAATTTCAAGCTCATTGTGTTCTGTCAACGGATTGATATCATCGTTACACAGTAGTTTGATGCAGCACGCCTCTAATAATTTTGTATCCCGAACTGCAAGTATTTGCTGAGTGCTTAACTTCTTCACCCTGACATTAGGTCTTAGCATGTTTTCAAATTTTACAGACAATCCGATTTGGTTGCGTTCACCAAGTTTGTTTATGTGATTACGCTTCATTATTGTCGCTTTTCGAGCTAATTTTTCTGGTAATTGAGAAAAACGAATGGATAACTGACACAGCTCTTTCAGTTTCTTCTCGATCATCCATTGCGTACTTTCGCCGATGACTATCGATATGCCTGCAAGCAGAAAAAAAATACCAGAATTCGGTTACTATTGATTATGAAGCAGACGTTTACTTCCATTTCGTTAAACTCAAAAAGTGTCTCATTCATAGATTTTGTGACTGTATCGAAAAGAAACATCAGATGAAACATACTCTATTTATCATAAGGTATTATTCAGCTGTCTATAGTTTGAGTATCGAATATTAAAGGAAACTGCAGTTGTTCTTTTTGAGAAAAATTACTAGCCTCAGTGATGATGAACTATAAGAACACATACTCAATCCTCATGCTAAAAAATCTCTTCAACTATTACTTTTGAATTTTTGGTGTGCTCTCATAATTAATCCTTTACCGTCGATGGACCATTTCGTAGTGCTTTCTAAATGTTCATGCATGAAATAGAACTTAGGCGCTGTCAGTATAATAACACGATACTTAAAATCCGATTTGTTGTAATTCGTTAAAAGATTAATAATTAATTAGCAATTAATTAAAATAAAAAATAAAAATTTGATTCAATTTGAAACCCTGGCTCTAATATGTTGTTTTTGATCTTTGCTGTGGGCGGAATGATGAATAATAGAAAAAAAAGTTCGACAACAAAATTGTAAAACCTACAAAAAAATATGGTTTGGATTTTAGTCATGAGCAGTGTTCGTTTTCCTAGTTAAAAAACTTTCGCACCCATATAATTTTAAACAAAACATCTCAGTGCATATTTTTCCAACAAATTATTATATAAAATAGAAATCTGTTTGCTCAAAAAGATTTGAGCACGAAAAAAAGTATTTCTTAGAAGAGTTTTCAATTTCTAAATTTAATGATATAACAAAGGAAGACACACATTAAAGCAATTTCTTGACTCATCGATAGCTTATTAAATTCTCTACATGAATATGCAGGCCGCTTTTTGATCAGATCTTTCGCTACTTTTCTATAGCAAATTTTACCAATGTCTACTGAGGTGGTCAATCTGAGATAAAGTTTTAAATTATTTTGTCACCGATGAAACTTACTCTTCATAATTAGATTCACTTCTGGTATCAAATCGCCAATCAGATCGAGTATTGTACAAATTCTGGGTGTTTTCAGTTCAAATATGTCCGCATCAGCAATCACTGCTGATCGGAAAAGACTTTCCATTCCTAATTGTAGTTGCACGTAGTATTCCATTAATTTTTCATTTCTCTCCAATTTATAATCGCGTTCTAAATCTTGTCTTGTCGCTATCGATAGTAGAGATCTATTGGGGGAACACTGTTGTAAATTTTTCTCGAATTCTTCAAATGTAATTTTCAACCATACTCGAGCCAGGTCTTGATCTTTAAATATATTGTTTTTATTCAAAATGCCATCACGCATTGTACGCCATAGTTCAGAATTGATGAAATCTCTCCCACCATCATTGCTGTTAGGCTTATCTAAATCATTCGTTGTAGCCGTTTCAAAATAGCTATCGAATCTCTTATATGTTCGATATTGTTTCTGTCTGTTTACTAAGCGATCAAAATCTACCTGTGATAAACGTAAACGACTATGCACAATTCGATCGTAGTCATCATTGTTCTGCTGCTGAACTGCAATATCTTTCAGATAAAATAGATGATGCAATTCACATTTTATTTCTTGTTGACCGCCCACATGTAAGAGTAAATCTTTTATTTCCAACAGACGTCCATACGTATCCGCATCCTCAGCCGCAAAAGTTTCCAAGCAAATGTCCAATGACTTTCCATACAACGAAGGATGGAAATTATTCGAAGAGACCATTTCTTGAGCGCATATATGTTGATACTGTTGGCTCAGATGGGTCATGAATTTAGCAAGAAAACAAGCACAGCCCATACCCAATATTACTCCATTCTGTTGACAGCTATCATGACACGCGACAAGGTCACAATTGCTATCGACACTGCTCATAAATGTGGGTGTACCCGGTTGGTAGAGTAGTATAGCATGAGGGCCAATCATAGTGTAAAAGTGAGTTACACGACCCCATCCGTCTTCCAACGGAGTCGTTGATTGGTGAATAAAATTGAATTGCTCACGCTTCAATTGTTTTTGAAGTATTTCATTATAATACTCAGCATTCAACTCGGCAACAAATTTTGTAATCTGACGCAGTATGAAGCGATTTGTTTTCATTAGCGATGCAGATTGTTGGTATATACCCTTTTTCATATCGAGTAACATTGCAGAAACATAGGATTCAATGTAAATGTAACTGGATGCTCTCGCCATCTTGATTGTCTTACCCAGAAAGTCAAATGCACACGATTGTAGATTGCTAATGTGTCTTCACCGTCTTACAAAGAAAAAAAACTTAGGTATACCGAATTGATTAAGCTAAATGAACTATTGAAAAGTTAAAATAAGAAAGACTTTACTCATGACTCAAGTAAATATTTTCATATTGTAGAAAATATTAACAACTCTTACTCAAGATGCGATATCATATAAGAGTAAGTTTTAAAAAATCGTATTTTTGAAATTAGTCACAAAATGCAATAGACTCGGTCGTGCTGCTGTTAGAGTGATGTATTGCCACAACAACAAAAAAACGCTTTGATATCACAACTCAAGATAAACTACAGAAACGATTACAAGGAATGAAAAAGAAAAATTCATCGAAGCATCGTTGTTATTCTCACTTAATGATAACCTCACTTTCTTTCTTGAGCTCTGAAAACACAACTTTTGCAACTTGAAGCTTATGATAACCAGTATAACTCTCGAAAAAGATTGAAGACAAAATCTAAAATTTAGTAGCCGGGAATGGCGTAGTGGTTCTATGCATATGATTATTATTAATCAGACATGAGACGGTTCGGTTCCTTCCCCCGACACGGTGTCTTCGGTGTCCAGTTATACGGTATCGGAAGAATAAACCAAGGAAGAACAGTACTGCACGCCAATTTCGTCATCACTGCCTCGATTTCGACTTTCGTTTTGTTGTTTACGTTTTCACGTTTCTCTTCCTTGTCATCCTTTCTCTGTTTGTTATCGTGTAGTCTTGTCTACTGACTATTGTTTCCGTAAACGTCTACAAAAATCACAAAAAAAATCTAAAATTTAGTCTATGTCAGTGTAATTCTCAAGGACATTGCAACACAGCACAAAACTTAAGGAGTCAGAAACTATTTTATGACGTCATAGCAAAAATATTTGTTGCTCGATTTTTTCATGGGCAATGTGGATATTGGTATGTGAGTGTGGGTTAATAAAAGAGGCACATCATAACACACTCAGATTCCCGTAAATCATCATATTTAAATATGTATCCATACCCTCAGTATACTAAAAATATTCGAATGAAATGAATCATGTTTGATAAACAATACACCGTTCGGTAATATTACAATAATTCGATGTAAAATATTCAAATAGATAGGCAATGAGCGGATGAAGTGAAATACTAAGCACAACAACCACTGTAAACCAATAGAATACATGAAAACATATTTTCATTTGTTTTAGATTCAATCAACCAACGAAAAATATTGCCGAGATAGGATTTTGAATATGTAAAGGTACAGTTCGATTCTCATTATGTTTCATTTTCATAAATTCCTTTTATAGATATAAAAGAATTCGTTAATTGGTTTTCCAATTACCTTATAACTAGTACGTTGAAAATAACTCGTAGCATATTTGGCTATATTATTTAATACAAATAAAGTTCATGCGACAGCAATCAAAAGGAGATTATCAGCACGTTTCAAACGTTTTAAATTTCGATGATGTCTCGACAAGATTTAGAACAGTATGTTTCATTACCTTTTCTTTTTGTAACTCGCACTCTTCTTGCCATAGTTTAAACATAACTAAGATAAGAAGAGTTCTGTCTTATTCATACAATTTATTACTACAGTAAACTATATTTACAAGAAGATTTATCGTTACCTGTTAAAATAGTTAACAGAGAAGGCCTCCGTATTTAGAGATTTTTCCAAAGAAAAATATCCTAGGCGTGAATAAACTGGACACATTCTTGCTTTCAAGAACTGGAGATATTGAACTTTTATATTTAAGAATATATTGATAGAATTAAGTCACAATTCAGTAATATAAATATATATTATGTTTGCTATTCCACTGACATTGCCAGTTCTGCGAATGATCATATTGGTCAAAACAGTTTCATGAAATAAAGTAAAATATGTATGCTCTTGATTGATTTTCTGTCTATACACATATTGAAGTTATAAGACTCGGTGTGTGTGTGTGTGTGGATGTGTTCGACTTAACACATGCATAAGCTCATATGTGCGTACACCAGCATCCACACTAACAGTCGAATGTGTACAAGTCAAATTAAAAGAAAAAAGTATTCAAATAAAAAATATAGAATGAGCAATAATAAAAACGTGATTTAGCAATAATTTTTGAGCAATAAAAATTTTTTATTTGAGCAATATTATAATATAAAATGAGCAATAAATAATTTATTATATAACAATATTAATTTCATATTTGAGCAACAAAAAAAGATAGAAGTGCATTATTTTGATTTATAATTGACAATATAACAAAAAAGAAAAATGAAGTATATATAATTCGTCATTGTATCAATAAAGCTTTTTTTTGCATTCGATGGTCTGCCTCTTTTTCTTTTCGTACCGATTGTCACAT